AAATTCTTGTATTTAATTATTTTTATAAATAATAGAAATTTTTTTTTTTTAAATAAAATATATTTTAGTTTTAGTAAATAAAACTAAATATACTTATATTATTTACTAGTCTTTTATTAAATATAAGAGAGTTATTAGAAGTATTCTAGCTTTAATATAAGTACTTTAGTTAAATTTATAATTAATAAAATATTAGAAATAGAATTATTACTAGTTATAATAGTAGAAATAAAATAATAGAATAAGGCTTAAAAATTAAAAATTTCCTATATTTTAAGAATTTAAAACTAAAAAGAAAAAGTAAAATATAATAATAAATAAATAGATATAGCTAAAACTATTAAAACGCCGAGTTTTAAAATCCGAGCTTAATTTAAACTATAGCTTAAAACCTTAACTAAAACTAATTCCTTTAACTAAAACTATATTTATATTAATTATATAATATTAGTTATTTATATAAATTCGAAATTATTATATAAATACTTTATTAAATTAAATCTTACTTAAAAGAAATAACTAATAATTAATATAATATATTTCTATTAAATATATAAATAATAAAAAATTAAATAAATTAAAAGAAAATCAATTTCTACTAATTTTATAATAAAATTAAAACTATTAAATACTTTTAAGTATTTAATTAATATAAATAAAATATAATTAGATATAAAGAAATAGATTAAATATAAATAAAATAAGAAATAAATATATAAAATAGAAATATAAAATAAGAAAATATATATAAAATATTTAAAAAGTCTAGTATTAAACCAAATTAGGAAATTAATATATAATTAGAAAAAAATACTATTTTTTATATTTCTAAAGAAATTCTAGTATTAATATAATTATTTTTTTAAAAGTTATATATATAATTATAAAATTCGAAATATAAGATATAATTATATAATTTTATATTCTATAAATAATTTAATTAATAAATTATTTTTTTCAGGAAATTATTATTTTAAAGATAAGGAAATAGTTAATTAAATAAAAAAGAAAAATATAACTAATTAAGGCTTTATTAATAATTAAAATATATTAGAAAAATCGATTTCTGAAAATATATATATATAATTAAAAAGCTTTTATTTTACTAGCTTTTAGTATTTTTAAAGCTTTTAATAGCTTTAATAGCTTTAATAGCTTTAATAATTAAATTATAAAAGTATTAAAATTATTAATATTTTAAAATAAATTAAAGTTCTATTTTCAAAAATTATTAAGAATATAACTATAAAATACTTTTTATAATTTATAGAAAGCCTTTAGCTTCTTCTTTTTTATAAGTTTTTTCTTTATATTCTTTTAATTATTTTTATTTTAAATATCTTTTTTATTAATTTAATATTTAATATTTTTATATCTATAATTTTATTTTTAATTTTTTCGATATCTTTTTTTAATTCTTATATTTATTAGCTATATTAATTAGCTTTTTATTAATAGCTTAAAAGAAAATAGTTTTAGTAATTATTATAATAGCTAAATTTATAAGTTTTTAAACTATAAATTAAAGACTTTAGAAATGCCTTTATATATTAATTTAAGAAACTCGAATTTTTAATTAATAAATGAGAACTTTATTAAGCTTACTATTAATTTCTTTATTAATTTTAAGAATAGCTTTAATATTTGTAATATTCTTTAGAATTATAATAATTAAAAGAGCTAAATTACTAGATATAATTAATTAACTAGATAAAATTAAAAATTAAAAAATAAAAGAAAAAGGAAATATAAAAGCTTTTTATATATATTTTTCTCTTTATGAAATTACTATAAATAATATATTAATAATAATTTCGGAATTAAATAGAAAAAGGCTATATTTTCTTTAAAAGAAGTAATATTATAGTAATTAAAAGTATTTATTTATACTAATTATTATATTTATAGAAATTTGAATTTATTAAGAAAATGTTTTATATTTTTCTTTCTTTAATTTTAGTATTTCTAATTTTAATATCTTTTTAAATTATTTAATATAAAGCTTATTATTTATTTAATTCTTTTTAAAAATTTAAATATATTTAATAAATAATACTTTAATCTAATTTTTAAAAAGAATTTTGGGTTTAAAAATAATATATAAATTAAAAACTTATTTATTTAAAAATATATATTTAATTAATTAAACCTATTCTTAATTATCTTATTATATAATCTTAAAAGCTTTGGTTTTTTTTAAAATAAATAATCTATATTTTAACTAATATTTCTATTATTATTTCCCTTTTATTTATATTATAAATATTATTATTATATATATTATATTCTATTTTCTTTATATAAAAGAGCTTAAAATATCTTATAATTTACTTTAGATTTTCTATAATAATATAATCTTTATTAAGGGATAATATAATTCGAGATTTGAAATCGAAATAATAATATAAGAAATCTTAATATTAATTTATTTTAAGAGAATTCTTTTCTAGATCTTTTCCTTATATCTTTAATAACTTAATTATTATCTTTCAAACCTAATAAACTATTAGGAGCCAATTCCATACTTCTAATTTTCGAATATAATACTAAATAACTGCTTTTTGCCTTTCTAATAAATATTATTTTACTACTATATCTTATTTCTTTAGTTTTACTTTATTAATTCAATCTCGAAAGATTTCATATATAATTCCATATTCTCTTACATATTTTCAAATGGATTTATAGTTGATTTAATTCAAAAGCAATAAAAAAAAAGTCTACTAAAATACTAATTAATATAAATTATATTAATTAGAACTATTATATATCTTATAGTAATTATTTCCTTAGTCTCCGATTTTTAATACCTTTAATATTATAGAAGTTATAAAGTATATAACTATTTTTATATAAGCTCGCATAGAAATTTTGGCGTTTTGTAAGAGTAAAAAATCACATCTTGTATAGTATACGAGGCTGCACGTGATTAAAATCATAAACTTTTTATACTTTATATTCTCTTTAGTAGTAACTCTTAAAATTTAGGCTTTTACTAGATATACTAAGCTTATAGAAGCTTAAGAAGCCTTATAAGACCTTATAAGTCTAAGTTTAATTTATTATTTACTTAGGTATACGTGACTTTGGTAAAATATTTTGGCGTTTTGTATAGTCAGAAATGAAAAAAGTAAGAAATGTCCGTATATTTCAAAACTCGATTACTAATTAACCACAAATCGTATTAAAAATCTGATTAATAGGTATTTTTCGCCTGGTTCTATTCTATAATCGCATCACTTAGTATTAATTACTCGGGATTGTGGTTAAAAAGTTATTATAGATATAAAAGGGCGACCGTTTTGTCGCTTTTGGATCGGACCGACTGTAGTCTTCTTGCTGGTATTATAATCGAGAAAATCGTTATGGGCCGTCTGTAATCGCATGCTCTCAGAGAGCTTGTTGGGATTGTCCGGGAATTCAGTATAGTGATTTTTCTTTACAGACATATTGAGGGGCTAAAAAAGCTTCAGAAAACAATTAATTTGGTAGTAAAATATTATGTGGGTATTGAATTATGATTTTTTGAAGGTAGCGATTTTGGGCGGTTGAGTAGTTTGGGTGGTTGGCCAGTGGATCCTTCTAGCGGCCGCACATGAATATCCCCAATTCGGATTATGTTCTGGCTGAATTAGAGATATTCATGTGCGGCCGCTAATGTGGCAATGTCTCACCGGACGAAGGGATAGCTGCACGTACAGGAGTTCAATCCGATGCTAGGGAGGGGTGTGCACGCACTTACGCAGTAAGGTATTATTGGCGGGGCGATTGGGAAGCTAGAAAGTAGGTAAAATAAGTAAATTGAGCCATTCAGAAATCTGACACTGAGACATTCCGGTGGTAAGGGCCGCTAGCGACTTAAATTAGCTAGTGGGAGGTTTTCTCGGATTTATCTTGACCCAGCAGTACTCGTCAGCAATTCCTCGCTTTGCTGGGGCCGACTTGAGCTGGCCCGAAACCGGGTGCGGAAATGTCTGCGAGTATCGGAGTATCAGACTTCGTCCCCTGGAAATCCGAGGTTACGCAGTAAATTATGTCGTCAGCTGAGATAAGCCTCGTGGGAGCCGAAGTTACTTGGTATAAAGTAACGCCGTCGACTGAGATACTGTAAACCCACTGAAATTACCGCCCCTGCAAGGCACTGGCAGCTTTACTCCCCCCCTAAATAAATGTAATAGTGGGTCCCCGCCAAACCAGCCTGGCACGGTCAAGTTGCCATACCAAAAAAAAAACTCCTGCACTTTGACCCACAGTTACATTTAATTAGGGGGGGAGTAGCTGGCCCCTGGAACGCTTGTACTACTGTGGAGACCCCGTACAAGGGCGACTAGTACTGCCCAGAAGTCTGGGAAACTGCCCGTTCCACATCCCCTGTCCAGCCAATGGATCAAACAGGATCTCGGAGGATCTACACCCCTTTAGGTGAGTGGTGCAAAATGGTGTTCGGACTGGTGGGTGGCAAGACTGCCGTGCTCAGTTCTTTGACTTTGGGGCTTTTTTTTTTGTTGGCAGTGGCAGTGGCAGTGCAAGAAATGGAATAAATGATTCTGAATCACTAATCGATAATAGTCTTTGAATTAAAACCACTCCGTTACCAATAGGCCACCGCGTGTCAGTTTCCGTGTTTCAAATTACGAGAAGAATACTGTTAATTTACGTACGGCAACAAGGAGGAGGGGGGGTGTAAAGGGGTCTAGTGTTGCCTGCGGTCTCCTCCGCAACATCGCCGTGTAGTATAAATTCCTCTTGTGGTATATATTCTATGCAGATGATAAAATCCCTCTCCTATGAAACCCACCAATCTTTATGCTCTTGTGTATTTATTTTAACTTTTGTATACATATATATATATATTTAGCAAACTCACTTGTATTCAGTCCATTCAAGAAACAAGCAATCCAAACTTCCTCATATCAAAAACTAATCCGCTGATACAGCCCAACATCATCGTTCGAGTAACGGTTTCTGAATTCTTCAGGTCAAAAAATACAAGATTAAGCATGGACTCCCCAATCGCCATCGTTGGCATTGGATTACGGCTGCCTGGGGGCTGCCATGACGGTGCCTCTTATTGGGACCTTTTGTACGTTTTTGGGGATGACCTTTTTTCCTATTCTGGACTCTGCCATGATTTCTCCAGAGACAATGTCTGAATTCTACTGGAACTTCCTTCATTGAGTAGTTACTAACTCCCCCGTTATCTAGAATCAACAAAAGAGATGCCCGGAAGGAGATTCCACCTGAGCGGTTTAATGCTGACGGATTTCATACTTCACAAATTGAGGGTGCTGGACATCGTTCTGGCAAATATGGATATTTCCTGGATGAGACGATCGATCGCTTCGACGCTGGCTTTTTCAGCATGTCTCAGGCTGAGGTTGAGCGGTTGGATCCGCAGCAACGCTTGCTCTTGGAAGTTGTGTACGAGGCACTGGAGAACGCTGGGGAGCCGGTCCCACATGACAGGAACATCGGGGTCTATGCTGGCAGCTTTGGGGCAGATTGGGCGCAAATGCAGGGCAAAGATGTGCAGGACTGGAGCGTGTATGGCTTGACTGGGTACGACGACTTTGTGCATGCCAATCGTGTCTCGTACGAATTCGACTTGCATGGACCCAGCATGACGGTCAAGGTTGGCTGCTCCTCGGGCCTCGTTGCGCTGCACTTGGCCTGCGAAGCGCTGCAGCGCGGGGACTGCTCGGGAGCAGTGGTGTGTGCTGCGAACCTGATCCCGTCGCCGGATATGTCCATCGCGCTGGATAGCATGGGCGTGCTGTCGCCAGATGGCTCATCGAAAAGCTTTGATGCCAGCGCCAGTGGCTATGCCCGCGCTGAGGCCGTCGACGCAGTCTACATCAAGCGCCTCGACGATGCAATTCGGGACCGGAATCCGGTCAGAGCCGTTATCCGGGGGACTGCCGTAAATGCCGACGGAAAGACGCGCGGACTTTTCACGCCCAATCCAGAAGCGCACACATCGCTCATCAAGAGGGCTTACTTCAAGGCGGGCATCGGCAGTCCTCAAGAAACCCCCCTGGTGGAAGTATGTTCTTATTTCCTCCCCTAGATGTCCGAGGTTATGGGAGCCTCGCAAGAGCCCGGCTCGAGAGACACATCTCGGGAACGCACCGGCTCATTGGCTCCCCAGTCACCTACGGTATCGGAACGCTATACTAATTTCTGTACAGTGTCACAGCACAGGCACAAAGGCTGGGGATCCGTTGGAACTCACAGCTATCGCACGTGTCTTTGGGGGCAAGAATGTAGAAGGAAGAGGCACTTACATTGGAAGTGTATACTTTGTCCCATTCGATACCGCGACGCAGAGCAGGCGATGCTGACGCGAACACCAGGTCAAACCCAATATCGGCCATGGCGAGGCAGCTGCTGGCTTGAGCAGCCTCATCAAGGCCGTTCTGGCTCTAGAGCGGCAGATCATCCCTCCAAACATCAAGTTTCACACGCCCAATCCAAAGAGTAAGCCTTCTGCAGGTGCCAGATGTACCCAAACTCCATTTAGCTGACTGGCGTACGTTCAGTTCCTTTTAGAGAATATCATCTGACTGTCCCTACGGAGGCTATTGCCTGGCCCGTGGACCGAGTTCAAAGGGTCAGCGTCAACTCATTTGGGATGGGCGGAGCCAATGCTCATGTCATTCTCGATGCGGCGCCTCCTGATTCTGGACAAAATAGCATTTACGCTCCTAAACTAAATGGTGCTCATGCTCATCGCAATGGCATTCTGCCAGCCGAGTCCAAGTCGACTGAGTCTGCAGAAGGAGAGCAACGTCTACTTGTCTTCTCAGCACATAACGAAAGATCACTACAGAAGATGTCATCAAACTACAAAGGGTTCATCGAACGCGAATCGTTTTGCCTATCCGATCTGGCATACACTTTAAGCGTAAAACGCAATCATTGGAATGTACGGTCTTTTTGCGTTAGCGATGGGAGGACATTCCAGGCTGTCCCAGGAGTCAGGATACCCAAATTCAAAGGACTGCTTTTCATTTTCACAGGACAAGGAGCACAGTGGCCAGGAATGGGGCGAGAGCTGCTCCGAGACTTCTCCACGTTTAGAGAGGATATCCGAAAAATGGACTTGTGGCTGAGCATGTCTGCCCACCCTCCATCATGGAAAATTGAAGGTACGTCAATTTGATACTAGTTTCTGCGCGGAATGAAATATAGAACATGTACCAACTTACGCATTCAGAGCTCTTACGAGATTGTTCGGATATCGATTGCGTGGAGTTCTCTCAGCCAATATGTACAGCGCTCCAGGTTGCGTTAGTGAAATTATTACGACAGTGGGACATTCTCCCAACCGCTGTAGTGGGCCATTCCAGTGGTGAAATTGCGGCTGCGTATACTGCTGGTGCATTAGGAATGAAGGAAGCCCTCCTTATTTCTTACTATCGGGGTATTGCAGCTTCTGAACTACGGCTGCCAGGAGTCATGGCTGCAATCGGATTGGGCCGAGATGGTGTGAAAGACTTGTTGGTTGGCACCGCTGTTGTGGCTTGTGAAAACAGCCGCTCTAGCGTCACAATATCCGGAAATCCTGATGATGTGGAAGCATCGTTGGAGCGAGTCTCTCAAATGCGGCCTGGGGTCCTAGCACGAAAATTAAAAATCAATCGAGCATATCATTCTAGTAAGCCATTTCAAAAATTCACAAGGAAAATGCCTCTAACTCCTCACAGATCACATGCAAGAGGTATCAAAGCTGTATGAAAACTTGATGGCTTCCATAGCCATTAAACCAGCACAAGGAAAGCTGTCTATTCCGTTCTTTTCCAGCGTAACGGGTTGCTGTATTTATGACGCTGCTTCTCTAGGTCCTTCTTACTGGGTCTCAAACATGGAAAATCCAGTCCTATTTCTCTCCGCCGTGAAGTCCGCACTTCGGATCAAAGACAAATGCAGTATTGCTCTGGAAATAGGACCACATTCGACGCTGTCAAGTCCTTTTCGCCAGATTTGCCTAGATGTGGAGGAGAAGATCCAATACATGAACACTTTGACTAGAGGAGAGGACTGCACAAACTCAGTCCTTACAGCTTTGGGCCACCTGTTTTGTCAGGGCATGATGCCTCGTCTTGCGAAGTTGAATCCTCCAGGAGTCACCATGTCAAATTTGCCTACCTATCCATGGAATCATGACACTTCTTATTGGCACGAAAGTCGAATTTCTCGCGAGTTCCGCACAAGAGAGTATCCTGAACATGAACTCCTCGGCGCCCGCGTTACGGGAGGAAACGATCTTGAACCGAGCTGGCGAAAACTGCTCGATGTGAATCGTGTATCGTGGATCAATGATCACGTTGTTTCGGGCGACCTTATATTTCCCGGTGCTGGATATATAGCCACCATTGGTGAGGCTATTCGGCAACTTTCAAAATCCTCTTCGTTCACGATCCGGAACTTATCAATTGAGGCGGCAATGATTCTCCGGGGCGGCCAACCGGCTGAGATCATTACGAGGTTGCGCCCTCAAGGAACTCAGGCAAAGCTTCAGTCTTCCTCTTGGTATGAATTTAACATATCTTCTTATGATGGAAACAAATGGCACAATCATTGCAGTGGCGAGGTCCATACCGGACAAAACTCGAGCCGGAACTTGTTTACTTCTGATGTGGAGACAATTAGACAAGTTGAAAGTGCAGACTGGTATCGCGTCGCCAAAGCAGCGGGACTGGAATACGGGTCTTCATTTCAAGCGCTTCGGAATATTCGTTGCGCTGTCGGAAGCCCTGTGGCCATAGCCGAAGTCTATGATGACCTGCTGCCCGAGGGGCCGCCCTATCCTGTTCATCCGATAGCCATCGACCAGTTGTTGCAGTGCTGCATGGTTGGATCAGTCCGAGGTCATTTACGAAATATGAATAAGTTGATTCTCCCGAATCATATTGGTGAACTACGTGTTGAAGCGCAGGAAATCCACACGGATCTACAACTCCGCACACAGGTTACCTCTCACAACGCTAGCTCCATTTCAGCAAATGGACAAATCCAGGCAAAAAACGGCTCTGTCATGCTGCAGTGTGAAAATATCCAATTTCAAATTCTGGACAACAGTGCCGTGGATACAGTTGACAACGTCGCCAGACACCAGCTTCACTTGCTCGAATGGAAGCCTGACATCGATCTCACTGATGTTAAGAAGTTGTTCTATCGTACCACAGACATGACAAGTTGCATAAGGCTTGTTGAGAAGCTGTGTATTCTCTGTTCCATCGAGACGGTCAGAGTATTGAAAAATGTGAAGCCTTCTATGCCCCACTTGCGACGATTCAAAGAGTGGATCGAGCAATTTGTAACAACCATCCAACGTCATGGAAGCACGGTTATTCCGGAAACGGATTGCTTGTTTCGGAATACATCCAAAGAGCGACAAGGCCATATCCAAATGTTATTGGAAGTAGCCCTTGAGACACCGGCAAAAGACATGGCTCTTGCTGTCACTGGCATGTATGATTCCGTCGAAGACATTTTCTGTGGCAAGACGGAAGCCCTTTCTGTGCTGGTGGCTGACAATCTCCTCGCCCGCTGCTACACTTTCATGAATATGATTGACCATGAACAATTCTTGCAGCTCCTTGGCCACAATAACCCAGACATGCGCATTCTCGAAATAGGAGCAGGCACCGGAGGATTCACGTCGTCAATCTTGTCTGCTCTGAATAAACCTGGATTTGGAAGCATGTTCGAAACCTATACATACACTGATATCTCGTCTGGCTTCTTCAAAGCTGCCCAGCATCGATTCCAGGAATACTCAAATTTGAAGTATGTTGAATTAGATATTACCCAGGACACGGCGACCCAAGGGATCCAACAGCATAGCTATGACCTTGTGATTGCTTCTAACGTGAGTGCAATTGCCTAACTCGCCTTTCAACAGAATTAGAAAATTAATTTTGGGCAGGTCCTTCATGCAACTCCGAACTTACACGAGACGTTGAGTAATTGTCGATCTCTTCTTCGACCAGGTGGACGTCTTCTGTTGCTAGAAGTGACCCCGGGTGAGTATATCGTTGGGTGGAAATTTGTACATTCAATTACTGACATATGTTACAGAATGCAAATTTATCAATTTCATCTTCGTACGTGAATTCCGTCGGTTCGTTGTACGAGAGTGCTAACTTTCAAAGGGCCTTCTTCCGGGTTGGTGGCTAGGAGAATCTGATGGTCGCCCAAACGAGCCATACATCAAACCTGCACAATGGGATACTGCTCTCCGCAAAGCCGGTTTTGATGGAGTTGAAGCTTCCATCACGGACCAGCCGTCACCATGTCAGCTCAACGCCATGATGGTTGCTAGGGCGTCTGAATCTAAACCCATCGCCCGCACGCCGCTGAGCTTGCTCTTATCCGATCCGAGTGTTGTGAATGAACACATACAAACTATTAGATCCACATTTGAATCAGATGGCAACGAAGTGTCGCTATGTTCTCTTTCGGATCTACCTTCAACTTCAACGGACATTGTGTCACTTCTTGAAATCAACGATTCTGGGCCATTCTTCAAAGACCTTTCTGAGGCTCGTTTCAAGGACCTAATCCATCTCATTGAACAATGCTATAACCGCGGAAACAAGATCCTATGGGTTACAGGACCTGCACAGATTTCCACGCAAAACCCTTACCATGCAATGGTATTAGGGATGGCGAGGACACTTCGACTGGAGTTAGGCTCTGTATTTGCCACTCTAGAGCTTGATACTATTGTTCCTGGTCCGTCACAATGCTACTCCATTGTACAAGTCTTTCGAAAGCTTCAGGCTAAAGCCAGTTTTTCGTATGCTACCATGGATTGTGAGTTTGCTCTCGCAAATGGAAACGTTTGTATACCACGATTCATTACAAGCGATGTTGATGGCTTGCTCCGCGGGAACATGGATTCCACGCCAGCGGCCAAAAGACTGTTCATCAGGAGCCCCGGGCTACTTAACAGTCTTCAGTGGGGGCTGCAATCACGAGCACCAGTCCTGCGAGACGACGAGGTTGAGATACAAGTGAGCACGGCGTCACTGAATTCCCGGGTAACTCCTTGCCGCTCTACAAAGTACATTTCATCTTTCGCTAATTGATACTTTAGGACTACGCCCTGGCTAGGGGCACTGCGCAAAGCAACAGGAATCTGGGCTTAGAGTGTGCGGGAGTGATATGTCGCATGGGTGCCAACGCGAAACCCAATTTCCAAATTGGAGATCGTGTGCTGTGCTGGTCTTCTGGCTCTCTCGCAACCCATGTCCGGATTGATGCGAGATATTGCATCAAGCTACCGGACGCTCTTCCTTTCAACGAGGCAGTGACACTGTCAACGGCTCACGCAACCATGATTCGTGGACTTGTAGAGTTTTGTAATTTGACGCAGGGTGAGAGTGTTTTGATACATTCGGCTGCCAGCGCCGAGGGTGTTGCTGCTATTCAGATTGCACGCATGGTTGGAGCCAAGGTAGGAAATTTTCTCTGATTTTCCAGACTGCAAACGCTAACTGGGTCACCTAGATCTTTGCGACTGCAGCCACAGAAGAGCAAAAAGTCCTTCTAGAGACAAAGAATGGAATCCCACGGTCTCATATTTTCTCTTCCAGTGACGATTCTTTTGTTCATGACATTCTGCAGAGCACAAATGCGCGAGGAGTAGATGTTGTTGTGAATATTTTGTCCCATGACCTCTTTTATGAAAGCTGGAAATGCATTGCCGAGGGTGGAAGCATGCTTGATCTTAGCCAGCGGGACTCCACCAGCCATAGAAAGCCAGGTCGTTGCCTGCTTGGTGGAAACCGAAGCCTCTACAGTTTCGACATGGTGACTTTGCTTCAGCAAAAGCCCTCAATAGCTCAGAGGTCAGTGAAACATCATTTGCCCACATCTTTCCTTAGGCTTGTTACACGTTTGATATTACCATTTTACTGATAATTCTTGGAATCTTTTGCAGACTTTTACAGACTGTGTTAGATCTCTACAACGATGGGTCGATACACCTTGCCTCTCCTCTTGCCAAATTTCATCCAAATGAAATCAAAGAAGCGTTTAATCACCTTTCCGGCAGCCGACGTGTTGGAGCTGCGTACATACAGTTTCCACAAGATTCGGCAACATTTCCGGCAGACTTCGCTGCTCCAGAAGAGTTAAGCTTTAGAGCTGATCGTGCGTACCTACTGGTTGGCGGTCTTGGAGGCCTTGGTAGATCAGCTGCCATGTATCTTGTGGAAAGAGGAGCTTGCCATATCATATTCCTTTCTCCATCGGCCTCCAAGCATGCTGCCGCCAATACTAGTTTCCTTCGTGAACTCGATGCATTGGGATGTAGTTGCCAGATCGTCACTGGGAGTGTCGAGAATCTCACTACCGTCGAAAATATCGTTGCAAACTCCGCGAAGCCGATAGCCGGCGTACTGCATTTACCAGTGGTGGTTAGGGTATGCAGTTCTCTTTCTCGGCACTTGGCATAGGTCTCGCTAACTATATATTCTCATAGGATCGAGGGCTGCTAGAGATGTCTCATGCAGACTGGACAGTTTCCGTATCCCCCAAAGTTCTTGGAGCATGGAACCTTCACCGCGCCCTTGAAAAAGAGCCACTTGATTTCTTCCTTCTCCTCGGTTCCGCGAACGGAATCAGCGGTAGGCACGGCCAAGCCAACTATGCGGCCGCAAATACATTTCTTGATGCTTTCGTAGTATACCGACAACAACTTAATCTTCCGGCAGTGATAATGGACCTCGGACCCGTGGGAGATATCGGCTACCTGGCCGAACGTCCCAAGCTACTGGACGAACATCGACGCGGAGGCGCAATGCTTGACGAAAACGATTTTCTAGAGTCCTTGCATCTGGCCCTCCAATCGTCTCATTTGCCGCTGGAGAGAGCACCGTCTCTGACATCCGGTTTCATCAATCGCGCTCAGTTCGTTACTGGCCGCATTGAACGTCCCTTCGATGCCCGTGGCCAGGGATTAGCACGCATTTATAACAGGAATCAGAACAGCGGTGCTACTCCAGATGCGGGGCAGGATTCGGCATCGGGGAAGGAAAGCACTAAGATGCAGAAATTTATGGAAAACGCGCGAGCGAACCCTCAGTCTTTGGAAGAGGACGCAATGGCTGCCGACGCTTTCCTCGCAACGCAGATCCTTCAGGCGGCGAAAAGCCTGTTGTTCTTTGATGACGATGAGAACGATGATGACGAGGGGCTGGACGAGTCTTCCAGCATGGCGGATTTGGCGATCGATTCGTTGCTGGCTATTGAGTTGCAGAATTGGTGGAGGCAGAGTACGGGCACGCAGATCTCGGTGCTGGAGTTGACGAAGAACACGTCCCCGCTGGAACTTGGGAAATTGGCGAGAACAATGATTCTGGCGGAATTGAAGTGAAGACTTGAATGAGTGTATTGTGTGCAATGAGATATTTAGTATAGTAATAATACTTTGAAGTTTTTTCAGTGCAAAGATCTCAACGCGGCAAAGAAAAGTCCACGATATAGGGAAATCTAGAGGGTTGTCTGCACGCATTCCAAATTAATCGAAATTTCTCAAGCTACAAGGTTCTGCAAATGTCTTTCCAGCTAACTATTTCAGGAATGTCCAGCTTTCGAACAGCCATAGCCACATGTCGACTGCTCGGTGATTCCACACAAACCTTGACGAGCATCGAAATGAACAATTTAACAGTGGCGCCTTAGTTGACAGCACCTTGGTACTCGACAACTCTTTAATTAAGAATGCGAAGGTTAGACTGTTGGGGTAAGGGAGAATCGGCGGTACAATTCACGATGGTTAACAATACTCTGTAAGATTTTGGGGTGTGAAGTTGATTGTCGTTGCGAGGTAAGATCCAGTCTCTGAGCCTTGAAGGCCGTTGCTTTATGCAATAAATAAGTCAGAGGTACCTTGTTCTGTCCCTAATCACCCTCGTGAGAGCAATCTTTGCAGAATACTAATAGCGTGCCGAATTGGGCACGGCGAAGTGAATCAAAGAGGCTCAGGATCCAAGACGGTGAGAATACCGATCGAGCCGACGCTGGCCGGATGACTCGAGCGGCGAGGGCGTGGCGGCGAAGATTTGCGGCTCTTGCAGTCATTGATAGATCGAAAGCGAAAGAAGGTGAAGGACTGTGTGATATGAAGGAGACGGATTCTCTTGGCCTTGCACAGCGTCGAAGGTTACCCACGACGGGGTATTGAGTCGGAGTTTACGCTGCAATGCTGCAGGGCTGCAGGACTCGAGATACCGGTATACCAAATGAGATAAAATTTGATGTAAAACTGAGACCTCAAAACCTAAAGGGCTAAATCGCCAGTACTCTTCCAGCATCAAAAGCATGGAGAGTGGTACCGGGACTTGCTGCACGCATGGGCAATGTCTCGCAGGAGGTGCTTCTGGCGCTTTGCAGCCCCGCCTTTCACGTGCCGTTGCCGCTGCACCACCCGAGTGCTCGGACGCTGAAGATCCTCAGATGAAATAGGCAGAAGTGAACCAAGTACCAGGTTGACGAATTACCAGGTGTAATTCACGTTACATAGGAACAGAGGAGATTTCTAGAATTGTAATTATTTCTAGAAGAGAAGCGTGAAGCTCGTAGAAGCTTGGGAGCGAGGCTAAATACTCCTTAGCGCCATAATTAAGCGAAACGTGTGCCTAAGGCTGAAGCGAATTTTCCCCCTCACAACGCGCTGCTTTGTTATTGCCTCAGGAATGACGAGTCAAAATATGCCCGTAAGAGTGACTGTTCGGCGTCGCAAATGATTGACGGGCTTCAGCCTTACTTTGATAGAGATGGAGATAGAGATGGAGATTGAGGTTTGAGGAGGCGATGTCATGGACTCGTAGCGGGGCAAAACTGCATCCAACCCTAGCGCCCTCTGATTGGCTCGCTTGCGAAAAATCTAAGTCGGCGCTAACGAGGAGCGGGCGCAGGCTCCGTTACAAAACTTCTTCTGCCCCTCCATTCATCCAACTCTTCTTTTCCTCCTTGTCGCACATACCTTGATTCAAGCAATCACTCTGTGCAGTAGGCCTCAACCGTCAAATCCACCATCAGAATCATCATCGCTGACGCTGTTTCCCCCAGATTCAACTTCTTTCCGAAGAAAACACAAAACCACACACAAACCGACAAAATTACAATACCGTCAAGATGGGGTGAGTCAACCGCCCTCTGCCATCAACACTGCTGTGACAGCATCATGGCGACGTCGAGATCGATCTTAATGGACTCCTGGCTGACCCCTCTTTGCGCTGCAGTAAGGAAAAGATGCACATCAACGTGGTCGTCATCGGCCACGTCGATTCTGGCAAGTCCACCACCACCGGTAAGCCTCCCTCAGCCCTCGATCTACGACTCGAGCATCGCGCTCACATACATAACAGGTCATTTGATCTACAAGTGCGGCGGTATCGACAAGCGTACTATCGAGAAGTTCGAGAAGGTAAGAATTCCACCTCGCCGTCGCCTTTGCACACATTTCCTGCCTTATCGCGATTTTGCCCCTCGGTGGGGCAAGGTCGCTTCCCACAATCAACAATTTTTTGCGACCGGACATTTTTAGCGCGGCAACCAGCGTTGTTTGCTGCCCAAAATCCATCTCATTTCTACGCGGCATCAATTTCTCTTTTACAGCTGCTGACTCGCTCTAAAGGAAGCCGCCGAGTTGGGCAAGGGTTCTTTCAAGTATGCGTGGGTTCTTGACAAGCTAAAGGCTGAGCGTGAGCGTGGTATCACCATCGATATCGCTCTCTGGAAGTTCGAGACCCCCAAGTACTATGTCACCGTCATTGGTAAGTGGCACCGTTGCACTCGATGAATCATCTGCAGCTGCTGATTATCTGCAGACGCCCCCGGCCACCGTGATTTCATCAAGAACATGATCACTGGCACCTCCCAGGCCGATTGTGCTATTCTCATCATCGCTGCCGGCACTGGTGAGTTCGAGGCTGGTATCTCCAAGGATGGCCAGACCCGTGAGCACGCTCTCCTCGCCTACACTCTCGGTGTCAAGCAACTCATCGTCGCCATCAACAAGATGGACACCACCAAGTGGTCCGAGGCTCGTTTCCAAGAGATCATCAAGGAGACTTCCAACTTCATCAAGAAGGTCGGATACAACCCCAAAGCTGTCGCTTTCGTCCCCATCTCTGGCTTCAATGGTGACAACATGATCGACAACTCCTCTAACTGCCCGTGGTACAAGGGTTGGGAGAAGGAGACCAAGGCTGGCAAGTCCACCGGCAAGACCCTCCTTGAGGCCATCGATGCCATCGACCCTCCTTCCCGTCCTACCGACAAGCCTCTTCGGCTTCCTCTTCAGGATGTCTACAAGATTGGCGGTATTGGCACGGTTCCCGTCGGTCGTGTTGAGACTGGTATTATCAAGGCCGGCATGGTCGTCACCTTCGCCCCCGCTGGTGTCACCACCGAAGTCAAGTCCGTTGAGATGCACCACGAGCAACTTGTTGAGGGTCTCCCCGGTGACAATGTTGGCTTCAACGTCAAGAACGTCTCCGTCAAGGAAATCCGTCGTGGTAACGTCGCTGGTGACTCCAAGAACGATCCTCCCAAGGCTGCTGAGTCCTTCAACGCCCAGGTCATCGTTCTTAACCACCCTGGTCAAGTCGGTGCTGGTTACGCTCCAGTCTTGGATTGCCACACTGCCCACATTGCCTGCAAGTTCTCTGAGATCTTGGAGAAGATTGATCGTCGTACCGGAAAGTCCATTGAGAACTCCCCCAAGTTCATCAAGTCTGGTGATGCTGCCATTGTCAAGATGGTTCCATCCAAGCCCATGTGTGTTGAGGCCTTCACCGACTATCCTCCTCTCGGACGTTTCGTAAGTTCTTCTGTCCTTGGACTCCATTGGCCGTTGCTGACTTTAATTCTCAGGCTGTCCGTGATATGAGACAAACTGTCGCTGTCGGGGTAGGCATTCCTCCGATCTCTTCCTTTTGAATCGATGCTAATCTGTGTCCTTTAGGTCATCAAATCCGTTGAGAAATCTGAGAAGCAAGGCAAGGTCACCAAGGCCGCTGTCAAGGCTACCAAGAAATAAACGACCAACAACCCATTTCCCGGTCCCGAGATGTCAAGATATGCGAGGGTGCGAGATGGTGGAGCGGTGGATGGAGAGGATAGATAGCTTTGCTTTGGCGCGAAGAATGGCAACGATCTTCTGAACTTCTCGAGTCCCATGCATGCATATCATTGTGACTACCATCTGATATCTCTGTGTGAACATCGTGGTGTAAATCTTTCACTGTCATCGATGCAGCAAGTTGCTGGTGCTAGTCCATCTTCTGCCTTGCCCATATTATCAGCCTTTTCCATCTAGGTTTCCCGTGGCGCATTGTTACTACCCTGTCTTGGTCATATCAATTTGGCATAGGTTCAATTAATTTCTTTTCCATCAATTATCGTACCATCTCCTCATCGTCCCTTGACATGTCGCCGGCGTTGAGGAAGTCCGACTCGCGCCACCCCAACGTCGTGTCTCCGTCACCCGCGCCCTCCTCATCTCCTCCTGCTACTTCCTCTCAATTCTACAAGCACCGATTCCTCCAAACCTTAAACGGTACGTAGGGCATTGAGTCCTCGCACAGTTGGCCGCGAGTATCCAACGCCTCCTGAGCGCCGGATGAACGAGCTCGATACGTCAACCCCTTAATCCCGCGCTCATCCTCCACGTCTCACGTCACTGATGAATTTCTTCTTGCAGGTCCAGTCTCATGCTCTCCGACCGCGAGCATCGAGCTTCATTGTACGTTGGAATGGGAATGTGGGCCTTCGCCACCCCGCCTGCTCTTACGAAAACCGATTTGCGAATCCGATCACCATACCACGAGTTACGATGCCAGAAGCAATCCTTGAACGGAAGAGGAGCAGGACAAAAATGGATAGAAGCTGAAGAATTCGGTAACAGTCACGTCGAGACGACAGGAGAGCAAGCGGAGGGCGTTCGTACCAAGGTGAGGTAGAAGTATGCTGCATAGAGACGAGCGCAAGGAAGAAAGCACAACAGACCAGGATCCAGCAGAAGCATGCTTCAAGCTCACAAAGGCAGGGAGAAGTCGATTCGGCCAAGGATGCAGAACGACACCGTGCGGTAACATCGACTCCATGCCGTCTGTGAGCATTGCTTGCAAGCTCCTGTTCTCAAGGAGAGGCATGTGCATATTGTGAGCTATTCCACATCGTAGATCCAAGCCGCATGCTGAGCCAAAATTCCTGCAGCATATCCATTTCACGTCAGCCGCTCACTCGACTCTTGCGAACAACTAACTAGTACTTGCATGAAACGATCCTGGATACTTTACGAAGAGATGTTGCGGCAGGGTATTCCGAATGGGCTCCGCATTTTCCGAAAACACAGTCTAGTCAACACTGAAACTACCCAGCTCGCCGAAATTTGACCACCATTGAAGAGCTTCGAGACATAGCAAGTGAAAAGAGGGCGAATTGGACATTAGAGGAAACGGAATCCAAATGCAGAGGAGCTTGGAGCAAGAGAGAGACGCTGCAACGCACGAAGACGAGAGATCACTTGCTTGAATGCAAGAACACACATAAAGCGAAACAAGACCCCAGGACTTCCTGCTCTAATCACAGCAACCCCATGCTGATCTCTCGATACTGCGCTTGCAGTTACAGTGCATTACGACTACAATCACCACGCATTCACTGTCAACGGCCCTATCCTACTCGCTTGTTCCTACAGCACAGTGTACTGTACAATTTTCGGTTTCTGGTCCCACCGAGCAATTTTAACAAATCGATATCGGGGGAAAGAAGAAGCATGCCTTTGGAAGGTTCGCTGCACTAATAAGTCTCAATAGACTCTCGGATCAACCGAGGGTGGCTTCACCGAAATTCAAATGGTGGAAGCGAAGACTCTTCTCAGGAATTACAAGGCCAGATTCACCGCAGTATGGAAGCTTCTTGAAAAGGATTTGAGGATTGACGCATTATGAGCTGGTAATGATATGAATATTCGGTTATTCGAGATGGGAGCGGACATGATTCTGGTTGTGTGTTGAGCCCTTGGCCTGGAAAAAGCGAGAACAGAGAACTGATTTCATAATCCTTAGGGGAGATCCCCTGGCGAGTGAATCCAGCGGGGTTTATGACCAAATGATGCTGTGGGTGCTAGATCTAAACCCTCCCAGGAAATTGCTGGCTCTGCTTCACAACTGTAGCATTGCAAACAAGTAGGACGCCGACTTCTTGCTTCCGACCCGCCTTCGGCACCATGAATCGATTGTGTGGTATGATACCAAGCCGAGTCCCTACTCCCAAAGGTGCATCCGAACCAGGCCCAGGTTCAGCTCCAGGCAGGAGGTGACACGAAGAGATTGGCAAACGCCTGTAAGTGCGAAGTATTATTTCTGTCCATGGAAATACTAATTAGAAATCTGGTTTTAGGGTACATGGGATTCCTCGAGAACGCTGAACAGATAACGATTGTCTGGATGAACACAGGCATTGGCGGATCTTCTATCGATATTGGCTCGATACCCTAGTCTAGAAAGCTGGCTCGTCTTCTCCCTGCAATAACAATATTTGTGAGGAGCTGGGATCGATCTTGTGATCGAACCAGAGGTCGAGCGGTTTTTCAGTTCGAACGCATTCAACGGGAAATGATTTAAGTATGAATTTTCATCCGTATTGGCTGCGTTGCTTGGCGGTGGCAGTGTTCGAGCTTCATAGGATTTGCGAGCTATTCGCGAAAATGAATGTTCAACTGACCGTAGGTACAATTGGTGTATTGGATTCTCTGGCGAGATGAGTTGTCCAGAGTTCGCACTTCTTAGGAAATGAACAATGGCCATACGAAGATTGAGTAGTTCTCGGCATTGACTGGATTCAGGTCCGTCCTGCTGTACAATTGATCCCAGAACAATCAGGTGGATTGTTCCATGGCAGACTGGTTCAAGTTGCTGGGGGTCTTGTTTATATGAAGTTGTGAGGATCTCAAGTGATGTTCGACAGTCGATGGGCTACCGCGCAACCAGATTTCGAGAAGTTCTAGTACAGTTCGCGAAAGACCTCCGTATATAGCTAAAGATGTCACTCTTAATTAAGAGACAAATGCCCTACAAATATTACACAAAAGCTATACCGATAGGTAAAGAGGCACAAAACTAGCGTTGCATTTTGCTCTGCCCCGGCCCACATTACAAATTTCGCCCTGGATTCACAGCCCAAGAAAGCCCGAAATCCGTCCGACATGTTAGGTTCTGCTCCATAGAGCTTCGAGTCGACGTGATAGAAAAGCCCCGCTCAGACCGCTCCAGCATTTGCGCAGCCCCTCACCCCATCATCCTCCATTACTCGAATAACAAAAAAGAAATACAATCCCCTTATAGCTATCCAGGAAGAATCATTCAGCGGCATCGTTTGTCATTACCTTCACCTCTGCAAAATATGGGTGCTGCAGTGGCAGAAGACGAAGCAGCTGGCGTTAACATAGTTGAGCAAATGAACTCAGTGGTTGTGGAAGTCTCAGTCGTTTACTCCGTGACCGTGATCCATCCAGAATCAGTGGCAGTTGCCGGATAGTCATGGATGCAGGTGACAAAATCAGTGGTTCGAAAGAGGTAGTGAAAGATTGGGTTCTCGATGTGAAGGCGAGGGACCCAAGTGAGGAGGTTGCTGGATGTGTAAAGGTGGCGAAGGAACTGGACTGTGTTGTGCCGGAAGTTGTTGATTGACAAGTCGACGTCGTAGTTGCCGCGATCTAGGTTTCTGTCACTGCCAAGATCTGAGTTTCTTTCACTGTTGAAACTTGAGTGTGTGTAACTGTCGAAAAATGAGTTTGTGTAACTGTTGATATCTGAGTTTGGGTTGCCGTGGCCGTTGGATTGCAACATCCCAATACCGGCACTGCCACTCTGAGCATGAGTAAGACGGCGAGGAGCAACATTGTAGAGATATAAGAGAGATTTGGACAGTTCAGGTGCAATAACCATTGGATATTTACCGGTAAACTGCCTTTAAATGCGAAAGTGAAGTGTTACCAATTGTAAAGGCGTTGTAATAGATTGGCCTTTGTTGCATTCCTTGATTCCACAATTGCAGTCACGGCTCATCTCAGATATTCTGAGTATTTCTTGTTGCTAAGCGACCGCTATTCTACCTAGTATCTGCTGCCTCGGAAGTTTTGGGGCTTGCGGAAAATAGCCGGGTGTGGGTGCCTTTGGCTATCTCATCTAGGCAGCTTAAGCCTCTTTTATCTTTATCAATACTTCCTCGTTTATTTGCGTCTTTTTTTGTACCCGCCATTCATTGCTCGTCTAATAGCGCTACTTCCTCTACTTAACCCTCTCCTTATCGACCTAGAAAAGCCGTTTCCTTTTGTGAACTAACGATAGTAATGTTCCTCTATAGCCTTCGTGATCTGCACGATCTATATGTATCGGTACTCTCTGCTACCTCGTCCATATCATTTTGGTTTTGGAGGCCTATAGCTACCGCCGTGCTTAACTAAGGCTTGTTGGTCGTACCTAACATGGATTTTACAGTCGCTATAGGCAATTGACTACGACGCAGGCCCAGTTAGCGGCAGCAGTATTAAATGGAGCGATTCTATTGGTTCATACCGAGAAGAGGCAGGGAAGACTCACGTGATCTGACCCCTCATTTTCGGAGATCAGCCTTCATGTTTTCAGCTCGAGGCAGCAACATTAAGACCTCATCATCGTCGCCAGCAATGGTATTTCCGTCATTGTCCACCCACATAGTATCACATAACTCAAAAAGCTACAGCTATTCAGCTCTCAAGATGAGTCGCTGGTCCCCGTATGATACGGTACGAGAGCCGCGTCGCAACCTTCGCACATCTTCAATCTAACCCACCTAGGACGAGGGTCGCTTGCCAGACGGCATGCAACGTGTTGGCTATGATGCCGATACTCAAACATATAGTTACCGAGACCGTAACGGTAGTTACTGGGAAGGAGCTCCGGGTTCGAGATATGGAATACTTGACCGAAGTAAGCAGCTCTAGTTCCAGCGGACGCAACCAAAATTCACAGCATTACCTAGGCAGCAGCGGCTATCAGCCCATGGTAGAGGCCAGCGTAGGTCTCACTCTATCTTCATGAAACTACACTGATAGCAATTAAGGAGCAAGCCGTACGAAAGGGTAAAAGCGCGGACTGGCGGTATATACTCCCGTTCTTCTTGCTCGTTTCGGTGGTCCTCTTGGCTCTATTCCGCTTCCTTGGTTCTGCCGCCACGCCAACGCCACTTGTGTGTCCACGAAATTCCATTCAATACCTGGTTAAATCTGGAGACTCGTGTTGGGCTATTGCAAATGACCACAGTGCGACGGTAGCTGATCTGCTGATGCTTAACCATGGCTTAGACTGTCGCTTGCTCAAAGCTGGCAGCGAACTTTGCGTACCAGTCAGCGAGTAGCGCGGCCTCTGGCACAAATGTTCCAGATGGCTGGACAGTCAAAAGGTACCGCCTTCTGAAGCTACCCTCAGGCCAAGGACAAAGAGCTTCCGAAATTGCCCCCCGAATTGCGGACAGCTCCTCATGCACGTAAGTTTTCTTTGCGAGTGGACCCAGTAGTCTGAAGTGGAAAGCTGTTTCCAAAACAGCTGATTACCTGGTGGACTCCTCCTCCTCCAAGCGTGTACGGCGTGGCAGCAAGTTGGAGTGATTGACAAGCGATATATGGACCTTTAAAAGAGCCACGGGCAGGAGTACCAACTGGTTGTTGGTGAAGGTAAGGCGTGGCATATTTCCCCTATGCGAACAAAATCTAAAGACATTGGCAGATCCATGTATTTGCAAAGGAGACCTACATCATGCGACGCCGCCTCCCCATCCCTCAGAAGCTCCGGTTGTTAGTCCGAATGCTCTTTGCCGACGAATAGCCGCTGTAAGGGGGCTAGTAAATAAGAGAAATTGGAGTGGCATTAGTAAAGGAGCAAGCAGGCGAGGAACTAGGGACTAGATTCCAGAAGATGGGATAATTGCCTGTATTCCTCGAATTTTCAGTTCACCGAACGATTCACAGTCTCAAGAAAGCTTTGTTTTCATGTTACCGTTCCCCTAAGCGCCGCATCGAGATACGTCGCAACGTCTGGTTTGTTCTGCCGCAGGGCCCTCTGTGCTTAATGGCCGACCCTGCGTTAACCTCTGAGAATTAGTTTCTTCCAGCGTTGGGAGCAACCCGATAATAATTGTTGAACTGGTATACTAGCCTACCTAGCTTACCATTCCTTCCAGCACCAAATTCAACCACTAATTTAGTCTTCTTCATTCTCATTTGTAATGCGTCACTTGCGGAGGTTATTTAATGCTCACTAATATATAGTCACCTGCTTTATTAGCTGATTTATAATATATCAGAGAATACGAGCTTGGAACACCTATACCGCCAAAGGCTAATGGGAATAAGAACTAGGCTTTAGACACCTTTCTCTCTCTTTTTATGCTTTACTCCGCCTGTATCTTAGTTATTTAGGCCTTGTCAATCATTAATATTATCGCTTTTTGCACCTCAAATTGCTCTCAGCGCAATAATAATTAGCCAAATTCTGATCCTTCTAGTCAATCCGCGACCAATCGACCGACACCCACACAGTCACAGGTCTTTTGCTCTAAAAGTGATTCCCGAAGTGGATGCACGGCCCAGAGCAAAACTACGACCAGCGAACCTGGACTTCTCGCACGGGGTTTCAAATCTTTCTCTTCCACAGCCCCTGAATTTTCCAACATCCTGTGTTGCTCGTGTTTCACCCCTCTCTTCGGGGCCTGGCTCCTGGTAATGATCATAACACCTGCCTCCAGATCAATTGCTAACTTCTTTTCGTATAGTTACTAGACCCCATAGTCAGACCAGGAGTGACTTCCTCTTCGCCAGTGACCCATAGCCCTTTGGCATGATAAGTCCATCTACTGGGTTAGCTGGTTATTCCTCTCTGCCGATCGCGGAGTGTCACCTCTGAACTTCTCCCTGCAAACATGACTGCTCGAAGAAATTACAATAAGAACATAGTATATGCTGCCAGTATCAAACTCGAAATGCCACTTAAATTGAAGAAGCCGTTTGCTTGAGGTGATGTTGCAGGGGCAGTTCCTGGGCACCGGATATTGAGGAGAAGTAAAGTGAACCGCGGAGTGGAATTGAAGTAACCATCTGTGAAAAGCCAGGTTGATTGTAACATAGTGTTAGAGAGAAATCAAAGGAGTGTTTCTAGAGCTTCAGCCTCCATCAAGGTGTCTGCCCCTAAAATGAATGATGATAGTCTGGGGAGAGAGTTATTTTATTCCATGGGTGTGCCTTGATTCGGTGAACAATGACTAGCGAATGCACTTCGGAACTGGGAATAATTGGCAGCAGCCAGGGAGTATAATGTTCCTGGACTCAAGGAATAATGAAATTGTTAATCCAGAACAACGAAGTTTACAATGCTCCAGCGATAATGGAACAATTGAGATTGGAATAGGCAAACAGGGAGTATGCGGACTTGAGGTGGCGGAACATTGGAAGCAGCGGTGCTGGGAAATTATCTGATAATGCGAGGATATTTCCGACCCATTGAGGCCAACGTAAGATCACTTGGGTCCCGCTGGGGCATTCTATATCTTCAATTGCTCTAGATGTCTCAGGAGTAAATGAGGCGTTGACGACAAGCGGCAGCACATTATCATCATTTAAGCACCAAACAGCATTGGAGTCTTCTTTAACACTGAGCTTGTAAGGGGTTGACAGAAGTTGAGAAGAAATCTCTCAATTAATGCGCCATTTTAGCTCCTAAAGGGGCTCAGTCTGGCTCCCTTAATGCTCGATTACACTTTCTTCGTCTTGTCTCCAAGCACAGATCCTATTTTGGCTCCTCCGAACCTATTTTAGATCTGAATTCGCTTAGAAGAGATCACCCCCGGCCTACTCACCTGCTTCCCGTGGATTTGGCTCTACTGCCCCTCCTAGGACATCTTTTGTAGCATCTAATATACTCACCTGGGCACTCTGGTCTGAAAACCACGGGAAGTCGGAGAGACTGGCAATAGAACTTTTGGGTGCTCCTGTAGGGGTATCCATAGGCAATCATATACAGATTGTAGTAGCACATATTGGCTTCAGATAAACGCCACAGCGGATTCCAGTGGAAGAGATCTGAAGTGATGTGGGCAACTTCCAGATAGGCTACAGTGTGAGGATCTGACTCCTTGGCGATCATACGGCTATTGGCGTTGACAAGAGAAGTACGGTAGACGATTCGTATGGATATGTTGTTGGGTAGCTCGAAACTGATCGCAAAGAATGACGGTTAAGATATTGCGTGGTGATAGATGTATGATTGTTAGTTGGTGAAAGAGGAACGCGAAAGATGACTGAAGTACCGGGTAACAAAACTATGAGGAAGGAACAATCGATGGTTATCTCTGTCTTTGGTAGAGGCAGATATTATGAATGCTCAGGTAGCAGGTTCGGACCAAGTCCCTTCTTTGCTAAATCCCTCCCAAGAAAACAGTTTTCGGTGGGAAGGTGCATCACTGCAACCGAGTCACAGAAATCAATGTTCAAAAGTCCCCAAAGAACTTTCTCCTCGCCCTCTCCATGTCCAGTTCCTCTACCTTTGGCTCCAGAAACTTATCAACCTCCTCTCTCCAAAACTCATTGTACGGATTGACATGCCATGCACTCGTATATTCCCAGTATTCTGGCCACCATCCCGCTGTTTCCCAATCAATATTCCCGATGACCTCGTCTCCTCGAACAATAATGTTCATTGTGCTCGGATCCCCATGTGTGAATATTGGCTTGCCGCAAGATTGGTTATGCCATTCCACAAGCCTGTTCGCGTCGGGCGCATCTTCATTTCCGCCTTCGTATCCTTCGCGCAGATGTCTATGGAAGTCTTGTCAGTATCAAATGGCCCGCGATACGGCCCCCCAGGGGGTCGACCATTAAACAATGGTCCGCCTACGACGTTCGATATGCCTTGGCCTGAAGGAGGGGGAATGCGCTGCATCTAGTCGACCATGTTCTTAATCTGTGCCAATATCTTCTCCTTGGATTCTGCACTTCGTTCTAGCCAGTCGTCCCTCAGGATATGTCCTTGCACCCTCTCCAATGTCTCCATGAATATATACTTGTATCCTTTCCGTTCAAAGGCGCAGTGCACTTTGGGAATAGGAATCGAGGTGTGCTTAGCGACAAATTACATCGTTGCTGCTTCGGCAGGTTGTTTCAAAGTCCCAACTTCGATGCAGAGGTGCTTGGAGAGCATGAGAACGGGGCCGTGGCGGGGCAGAATACGATTCAAAAGTCGAGGCGTCGCGAGCACGAAAAACCGTCGAAGGGGAGTGTCGTTGACGCTGAGGCTAGGCTTTGATCGGGTGTTTGTGGGCGATGAGACCGGGAGAATAATGGAATCCCTTTCACTCATGACTTCGTCTTAGGATGATGGATGGACATATCTCGTAGAGTTGGAGAGTTCTTCGTATAAACTGGAGCGTCGTTTGAGGTTAGCCAGCGGCTGAGACAATGAGGCTAAAGAAGCGCTAACAATTTTTCTTATTTTAAAAAGTTATTATATTATAGCTTAAAGATAAAATCTAAATAAAACTTTAAAAGACTTTAAATTTACTTAAATATTAAGAGTATTAAAAGCAAAAAATAGTAATATACTAAAGTAATTATTTAAAGATAAGAATTTTTTTAAGATAAGAAATAAGCTTTTATTTTTAATTTCATATTTTAAAAGCTTTAATAGAAAATATTTTAAATATTATATATAATAAATTTCACTTTAAAATAAGTAAACTCTTTCTAAGTTAAACAATTTTTGTATCTTATAATTATTGAAATATATTAAAGAATATATTACTTATTATTTAGTATATTAGTTACGCAAGTGCAGGCCCTAATGTTTATTACACCGCCTTGAATTCTTCCAGCAGAATTCGGTTACAGCACATGCTACGGCGCGCTTCAGCGCTTTGTTTATTACAGGAATATGGTAATGGCAGAAGCCATTCCCCGTCTCGGTTGCGTACTTTGCAGTGCAATTAAATTCACCAATTTTGGTGGCCCCGCCCTTTCATTTTCCCCGCCCCCAACACCAAAAAATTACCCCCGCCTAGCTCTTCCTTTGCCCCCCTTATTTAGGTAAGATTGAGGTAAGGCAAAGCAAATGCTGAGGAAGCCAAAGGTTGGAGGTAGACTGCGGTGGTCAGATGAGGACACTGGGGAGGTCTGGTTACCGCGTTATGTCCGATCTTCTTGCTGTATCTCTGATGTGAAATTTTGAATCACCCGAGAAAGAAATTTTGCTTTTCCTACTTGGCATCAGGAAAGTAGTCACGTTGCGTGCCATGGTGGGACTTTGCTGCATATAACTGGCGTCCATTAACCTTAATCATTACCACCAGCATTGCCATTTTTAGACACCGCTGTTGTGCTGGATGCGTTCTCATTCTTCTACTATCCCTCTAGTCTTGGCGCGCTTATCGCTTTCTATCCGTTAGGTCATTAGCATGAGGAACTTGACCCTGAGAGCTTTGGAGGCCCAGCTCGGGTCATCTTTTCATGTAGTCTATTTTCGGTCATCTCGAATTCCCTGTAAAAGCAACTGGAAAGGTTAGCGAGGAGGAGCTAGGGATACGTTAACCCCGCCGCGACCTGTTCCGCGATGTACAAACCCCGATTTAGCGTGAGATCGATAAAACTTTATTTGGAGCGAAGCAGCTGATTGGTGGTTAAATCCTCGGCCTTCGGGTCCTCCCTTGGCGCTCTAAAACCTAGGGACTTGGCTTCCAATTCTGGCACGGAGTCAATAGCCGCATAGTTATTTTCAGACGGATCACTGGTCTGAACAAAAACGGTCCCGGAAATATTGGCATATGTGAGTAGAAAATGTAAGATCTTTCCCATGAAATGGGTTAGAGTGCTCCGGCTTGGCATTGATAAAGCAGGTCTTGCATCCAAGTTTTGCTAGGGGTTTCCCGCATAGTGGTGGATATTGTGACCACTACGGCAAAAGACCAGTATCCGGAGATCTTGAATCTTCGGACCAATACTCACTTATTAGGCAAGTGCCCAGGCCAGTACGGCATGTTACTGCTAGCTTGTGACAAGTTTCCTTAGCCCAAAACTTTGTAAAGGGAGTTACATGTAGCAAAGACATATATTGGTTTGCCTAGTGTAAAGTCATTTAAGAGCTTAGAGCTGATTGTAGCCTATATTAGCCAGCTTACACGTAATGAATATCTGTTGGAAATATAACAAAGGCTTATTTATTTCCCCTCGAATCTTAACCTATCCAATCTCTTTTGGAATGGCTGTGTCCTAAGTCGCGTGATACTTCTCCAAATTTCGGTAACCTGAGGATTTATAATCTGTCACATTCTCTTACTCGGTGCAACGATCTTTCTCAGGCTCTTTATCGATAGTTGAACTCTGCACGTAACCCAGAGACGCAACCTTCCACATACTCTGTTGTATCGTAAAAATGGTCTAGAAACAGATAGTACTGTTTACTGCAGAAAACTCCCGTCTTATCTTGCCAAGTTCGTACTACCTGCCATATGTGGAGTGCGAAGTAACCTTGTGGCTCTAAAGACATCTTCCCCGTGATTCTCTTCCCTTCTTCTCATCCCTGGGCCAATCTATCCAACTACTAATATTAGAATTTAACTTTTCCCCGCATTTAACCGCTGCCCTGTAAGCGACTAAGTTCCCTTGATATGCGCTCATGGTTTGGTTTTTTAAAGCAAAAGTAATACGGTGTTGTGTTGCTCCGCGCTATGGGCTTCTGCGCAAGCTACTTCGTGCATAGCAGTTGGCCGTATATTTCTTATTGAGGCACAATTCGCTTTCAGCCTCCAGAAGAAAGGGTATATAAAGGGCCGACTCCCCATTGATATCAATGCCAATCTCAACATTCAGTCCATTATAACCATCGGTTAGTCACCTCCAACATTGCCGCCTACATCTTCGTGCAGTACTCAGGCTCTCTATTACCAACCATGAAACTCTTCTCTATCATCACGGCAGCTTTGCTTCCTGTAGCAGCAATGAGCACACCATTGAACGCAGTCCGCGACTTCGATGCCGAGGCTGCGTCCAAAGCCCTTCTCGCCAAGACTGCATCTAATCCCCACGCAGTCCGTGACCTCGATGCTGAGGCTGCTGGTTTGGTTAAGAAAGCCACCCAGTATTGCGACATCGTCAACGTTGCCACCGAGGTCGATTGCTGGTGGTTGCCAAAACACGGAGGGAATGGGAACCACAAAGTCACCAGCCTTGCCGGAACAAGAAATAACGTTGAATTCACTTGTTATACAAATTGTGAGGACGTTAATGGTAATACGTAAGCTCTACCCTCAGCTCTCAGTTATTAAGTATGCCTAACTATGCCGTGCAGCTCTTGGGACTGGGCCGTCAACCATGGGTGTTATGTTCCTGGTTACTATACGGATGCTACCTGCTCTAGAGGTATCTACCCACCCCTCCTTTCTCGTTCAAATTTTGAAAAGTTAACTTATACATCCATCTTCCAGCCGCTCTTGGAGGATGTAGCTGGGCATCATATGATAGATCTTTTGGGGGCTGTGCTTAGATGGCTGGGCGTTCATAGGAGAATTTTCTCCCAACATATATTGGGCAAATTCAACATTTGTACCGTGGATTTCGAGAATTGAGTATTGCCTAGCCGGACACTTGGGGTTTGCATTTATTCCTAACCTAGCTCTATAAATAAATACTGTCGCTTGTGTTGAGAATTAGCGTTTCAGACCGTGCATATAAAGACTGGGTCTCCCCAATTTCCTTCCATTAGAAATGCGTATGGAATAACCAATGAAGTATTCTCATTTCAACCATAGTCAAGGTACAGGAGGTGGAAGTGGAAAGCCTGAAAGTAATGGCCATTTCTATTTAGAATTTAAAATGTTTGGGATTGAAGGTGTACTTGGGTGTTGTTTTATATATGCCAGCACCCCTCCAAGGCTGCCCTAGAAGGGTGCTTATATAATTGACCCTTCTAGCCCCCTTTTCCCACTCTTAAGAAGGCTAGTTTTATAATTTTGGTGTGAAATACGGCCTTCTTTGTCGGCTATGTTTTAGCCCCCGGCATACGCACGTAAGGCGGGCAAGAAATACCTCCCTCCTCTTGCCCTCACGACCGCTTGAGAAGTATATCCTCACTTTTTGATGTCCACCTGATATGGAGCCAGGTACGGGAAGAGCGCGCCCTTGGCACGCGTCTTAGTCTGCTCCTGCACGTAAATACAGCTTCGTACGTAAATGCAGCCCCGCACGTGAATGTTGCTCCTTGTAAGTGAGCCGCCCAGTATTGGTAGAGACAAGCTTAAGAGCTCCCAGTATTAGCCCACTGTCTAGTTAATCTCTAAACGCCATGTCCGTATGTTTGTGAAGGTTGGTAGCTTCTCTTCCATCGCACATTTTCCAATCTCACCATCTCCCATTAGTCAACAATCTAATGTGGTCTAGAATTCTAGGAGCTAAGGCGCGCCGCTAACTGCCGTGCTTTTGAACTTCCCGACCTTCCCCGAAGGGAAGTCAATCACGTGCATCTTGTCTCCCACCATCTCCTCCTTTACACACTAGAGGTCGACATATATATATTCGTTCACTGCGCATATAGCTTAAATATTTAAATCTATATATTGTCTTCAGTCATGGCATTTCCCATCACCTATCCGGCTGTTAGCGGTCCCGGCCGTCTCCTAGAAATCTGCAGTTTCCGCAGAAGCTCTATCCCAGAATCACGCGTACCGCCTTCCTTCCTTGTTTGATCTGCTCTCTTAGCTGATACGCGTGTTAGTACGATGAGGTATTCAACGGCATTACCGCGAAAACCTCACAATTCCCCATTGCTCGCCAAACCCTCTCCGGTCGCAAGGCAAGCAAAGAGGAAAGAGATATCACCGTCCTGATCGCAGATTGGACTTCTGCAGACGAGAAAGATATATTTGAGCCAGGTGCGTTCGTGATCTTTCCTGAAGTTTGGCTGGGAGTTAGAAGCTTATTGCGTGTGCGCTGCAGGCCCCGAATATCAAGGTATCAAGCCAGCGTTTGGGGAGCTTGTTAATGCGGGGAATCCCACTTTCGCTTGGTGAGAATTTTCGAAACTGGTGCGGAAAGAGGACAGCTAATGAAAACAGCCATCATATCATTCTTCCTGGGTTGGGAGTTACCCCCGAAGCGGGGAGGTATGTCGCAGAGTTCTTTTCGGTGTCGGGGTTGAAACAGGGAGAGTTTGCTGAGAAGTTGAGGGAGCATGTTGAGTCTTTGGTTGGAGATACAATGCCAATCTTCTTTCATGCTGCTCCGAGCCGGGAAAATGCTGAGGTTGTGGTCGCGGTTTCTGGTTGGAAGAGTGGGGTTAATGCTGGTGCCTATATGGCGGTGAGTGCGGAATACTCGAGCGAATAATATTTTGCTGATTCATGGCAACACAGGGAGATTTCAAGAAATTGCAAGAAACAACTAGGCCTATTTGTACAGAGGTTGTCATTTATCAGGCCGACATGAAGAAATGGGAGGCCTCGCAGTAGAGGGACGAGGAACAGAGATTGCTTGAATCTGGTTGCCTAAAGAGATAGCAAAATAAAGCATGTTCTTTATTTGGGGATTATGTTTTAATCATACGTAACTTGCCGTAACGTCTGTCTACTTTTCGTTTCCCTTCTCAAAACGTAAGGGTATGCCGCTACTCCGCGAAAATGCTTGCCAGCAGCGCGCATTTAACATCCAATTTGGCTCGTTAACACCTATATGAAACTCCCCCTTCGGATGCTACAAGCCTCCTTTGTTACATTGAAACCTGGAGTGAGCAGAGGAGGTGCAATATGCAGTGGAATATGTTGTATTTCATTGCATTAAGACTAGTCAATCATTTGGGTACATTTGACCTGCCGCTCCTTACAATATTGATTCGACTTAGAAATTAATGTATGTAATGCAATTAATAAGTGTCCACGAGCAAATCGGTTCGTACAACCAATTTGCGTAAGTAATCCCATCTGGAGGGGGCCCATGACCGCCGCGCTTATCACCAACTTCCGAGCGCTCATTTTGTCTCTCTCACTCAGATTTGTTCTCGACCTCCACGACATCAGTCTTGAAGCCACGTCCACCATCCAACTTTCCCTCGCCACCAGGAATATTCAACACATCACCAACTTCCGCACGATGAGCCTTGATAGTCTTCTGGAAATGTCTGCAGCTCGTCTTATTAGCAAACAAATAATCAATCTGTGCCACTAAGAGTTAGTTCCTGCTCTAATTCGATTTATTGTTGGAGGACGCTACATGCCTCTTCAAAACTTAAGCCTTTGGTTTCCGGCATCAAGAAGTAAAACAGAATGCAGAGTGGGACACCAAGGCCTGTGAAGACGAATCCCACCTTGCCACCCAAGGCACCAGCATCGGGATTTATCATATAGGGGCTGACAAAGCCAACGACCCATCCACTGTGTTGTGTCAGTTGAGGTTGTTGTAAAGGTAAAGTTAGAGGAATGAGCTTACACGACACCTTGCGTGACACCGACGAGTCCCTGGACTTTTGATCTGAGTGGTGGCGAAGATACTTCTGCTCCGATTGCAAAGCCGACGGCACCGATAGTGAGTTGATATGCAATGGCCCTAGATATCGTTAGCTTGTCGATTGAATAGGGGAGAAGTAGTAGATACCATAAAAAGATGCAAACAATGATGATCCACAGTGCTGGAGATGTGGTAAAGCAACCGCAGATCCCCATGACAAGCAGGATCAGAGTAAGAGCGATTATTCCTGGAACGAGCAGGGCTCGTCGTCCCGCTTTCTCGATTGCAACAAATGCAGTGAAGTTGCTGAGGAGCATGACCACATAGAGCACAACTGAAACGGTGAAGTACTCCTTCACCCCTGTGGAGACGTTCGTAAATTAGTATACATTCTGGATATGTGAAGACATAGCGAAGAAAGGATCTACATACCAATGAGAGATAAGAAATATGTAACATATCCAAGAACAAAAGCCGCACCAATAAGTTGTTGACCAGCCGCCGGTAGTGTTGCAATAAGTGTCCGTTTCTACGATGGTATCAGTATCAGCCCGGGAATTAATGTTGAGTGAGTCGATATACTCACAAGATTAGGTCCCTGGAAACACTGCGCAAGCAAAGATCCTTTTGCGGCGGCAGCTTCTTGAATAGCGTCACTGAACTGAACGACATCGGTGATTCTCGCAAGCTCAGCTTCAATGAGGGTCTGGTCTTCACTTCCGTGAATCTTGTTGAGCGACTTCCTTGCTTGTTCCATGCGTCCCTTTTTGATCAAGAAGTAAGGAGATTCGGGATACCATGGGTAGATTACAATCAGTATCACTGCTCCAATTAATGGTTGACCCTTTGTAGTGCGAGGTGGTTCTTACAAACGAAAGAAAACTGAAGCACAATGAGGATCTCGTAAGACCACTTTCCCTCAATACTTGAAGTTCCTTTTGCTATGCATCTACATTAGGTTAGCATGCGTTGTGCCTGTGTCTCTCTTTTTTTTTCCTTTTCGACGGTGCTTACGATAAGAGGAATTGGCCAAGCACGATCGAGCCATTCATAATGCAAAGGAAGAACCCACGAAGCTCAGGGCGGCAATTCTCTCCAATCCAAACTGGGCTTTCCAGAAAGATTTGGCCGAACCCAATAGCTATGTTAAGTCAGAAAAAGTCTCAAGCTGCTTCTATTTTGGGATACCCACCATTGATGAATCTACCAGCGAGGAAGAGCTTCCACTCAGTGCTAGCAATCTGCATACCAATCCCGATAGCTGTGAAAAGTGACCCAACCGCGATTGTATGTTTTCGCCCGATAGTATCGAGCATGTAACTGACTGAGATCTCGCCGACAATGCTGCCAGCGGAGGAGGCTCCCGCCCAGCCAGATTGCCAACGAGCGGGAATGAGGTAGCCAGATGCCTGCGAAGGATATACTTCGCCAAATTGTTTTTGGAATGCGGGAAAAGCTGTGCAAGTCCCGGCGACGCCGAAATCGAAACCTATGACTATTAGAAAGGTCTTCTCGATCCAGTATCGAGTACCTACCGAGCATCATAGAGCCAATGGAACTGTATAACGCCCACATCAAGAATCGCTTCTGCTTAGCAAGCACTTTCCATTTTAGATGAGGTTGGACCTTTGTCCAAACAATCTCGGTTGAGGCGTCCATGGTTAGCAATGGCTGTGAAACGTCGAGGGTGAGGGTTGTTGCTGAGAAATGAGAAGTGATGCTTGATGCTTCCGGTAGAGATGTGACAGAAAATGAGGGGAGAGATCCGCGTATTTGTAATCCTTGCTGCGTGACTTGGTCTCTGATTCTCTGGCAATGAAGTGTGTGTATAGAAGCTGTGGTCTAAGAAGGATTGTGGGGTTCAGCTGTTACTGCTAGCGGAAATTGTGAAGCCAACTCTAAGGGTTATTACCAGCCAACCACGCGAGGGATGCCTGGTGTCAGCTGGCGAGCCACAATTCCTAAACAATCCAACAATCCAATTTTCATGCATAGCTTGGGACGAGAGTGCGGAGACGGGACGAGACCCCAGATCTAGGCAAGGGGGTTCCCCGACTGGGGTGACGCCGAGCACTTGAGTTTAGTGGGTACGGGCGCTCTAGCCGAGCCGCCCCCTTTTTATTTTCAACATGATAGGCTCTGGAAAGCGCGAGTCTTACTCGTAGTGCAGCACCAGCTGGGGAAACCTAGTAGCTGTGGGGGGCTGGTCGAGTCGCTCCCATTTTCTGTTCGACATGATAGGCTCTGGAAGGTCACGAGTCTCACCAATACAAACTGGGGAAAGCTAGCAGCTGTGGGGATCTGAGCTGTTTTCTTGATTTCACTTTCGATAGTCACAACCCCTTTCATGCAGCATCCGACATCCGAGCCGAGCTGACCCGCGATATTAATACGCGGTTGTGCTCTCCAAGAAGCAATGTCAACCTCGTACTTTCCGAGCATCCGCGATAGGAAAGGAAGACAATTGCAAATGAACGAAGGAACCACCACTCTGAGACCGGCTTCTGCCAACCTGGGAAAGCAGCAGTCAAACCATCCAGCGAAGCGAAAGCGACACGGCCGGTCGGGAAATGCATCCTCCTCTCCACCAAATCAGCCTCGCGCTGAACCTTCTGATTACCCGAGAAAGCGGGTTTCCATTGCAGTAAGCCATTTAGATCGAGAGAAATTCTTGACCACTGACACGTTTCCTGTAGTGCGATGTCTGTGAGTTCGATTTTGATCACAGAGACTTCGGTGTGCATGACAGTCAACGCAGTCTCCTAACATGGTCCAGGCCGCCTGAGAAAGACAAGATGTGATGCAGCCAAACCACGCTGCTCCTTCTGCCAAGAAATAGAGGCTGAGTGCACCTACCAGAAGCCAAGTGCAGGCGACAGGTATCTCGGTCCACAAGTCTAGGGTTGGGTTTCAGCTGACCCACGTTCTTAAGACAGAGCAACAGAATAGACGAGCCGATCTTAAAGATCCTAGAACGTCTAGACCGAATGGAGAATTTGATCTTGCTTCCAGAAAGAGAAACGGCTCATGTCACCACCCTTGTTTCCCATACAGCTGACGAGAATTTCCAGGAGGCGCATCCTTCAACGGAGCAGGTGACACATGGTCCCACACCTGAATCCCATTCCTCTTACCAGTACGATCATGGACCTCCCTTGGTGAGAACAATGTCAGTTCCCGACATCCCGGTTCTGAAGCCCCCTGATGCGCATGAGAACAACATTGTCTTGCCGAACTTGGAAAGCTTTTCTTGCTTGCCACCATTCAATCACATCGAGTACGATGAAGGAGAGTTGTACCTGCAGACAGAGATCCGACAAGGAGCTCTCCTCTATGGATACACCGGCTCTCGGGTAGTAGACACAACATCCAAAAAATGTTGGAGGTTGCAGCGGCTGTTCGCCAAGAATGTCCTACCTTGGATACCACTCTTTGACCAGGAGTACTGCATTTCAAAGGTCACAAGCGCGACAGAATGTGGCTTCGAATCCGAAGATCTCTCAGTGGCCCTAGTGATGTTTATTTTTGCTTTAGGAGCAATGTCCAATGACGACGATTGCACCAGCAACTCCACTGCGAGTTTTGCTGGTATCGCATATTTTCTTCAAGGGTGTAAAATCGTTGATGCGAGTCGGACGAACAACAATACCATCATCATGATTCAATGCAGAATCTTATGGGCAATATACTTGTTATATTGCATGCGGCCGCTGCAAGCTTGGAATATAATTAATGAGGCGTTGAGAGAGAGCATCATCCTCTGCCACTTGCGGACCCGGATGGGATCTGATTCACGCTTGAATGACCTGGCAAAACGAGCTTACTGGGCGTCTTATATCCTAGATCAGTAAGTTATCAATCAAGATAACTACCCTTACTCACCGAAAGTTAGTGAATTGAGAAGCCAAATTGGGTTCACTGGAAGCGGGATCCACAGTTGCCCCGGAACTGTGGAATTACCCTCGAGTGAAAACGATGAGCCGGGATTCTTCTACTTTCTATCTGAAATCGCCCTCCGACAGCTCCTCGCCAATGTTCTTGATAACATGGGTTTTCTCAGTATACACCCCGTTGGTTGGTTCTCTCTTTCACTCCATTCTAACTTTGATAGCTGGCTACACCCGCTACGCCCCAGTCGTAGCCTTCGAACTCTGCTCTCAACTTTCAGAATGGTATTCCAATCTCCCCTCTTCTCTTCGCTTCCCCCTCGGCTCAACACCAATTCTCGATCCGCAAAAGGCTTTCCTTCGGGCCCAATATTACAGCATTCTCTGCATCACGAAATGGCCATTCATAATGCGTTTCGTAGCTCAGATGCCCGACTTCCGCGGCGAACAAGAAATGCTCATCTCTCAAGGACGGGAGTGTCTCGAGTCCGCCATATTATACATCCATACTATTGAAACTATCATGCATTCCAGACATATGCTTGTCTTTCCCAATTTTATTGGGTAAGTTAATTCGCCCTTTGTGAGGGCCCTGAGTTAATGAAGTAGGCTACACTGCCAGTTGATGCTGTTGACCATCACGTATCGGGTTCCGTCTCTGCAGAGCATGCAGGTAGAAGGTGTAGAAGCAGCAATCAAGAAAGGATATGAAATCATGAGGACTTGGGAGGAGAGTCCCAGTGTGGGTGCCGCCGTGAGACGATTCGCAGTGTTGATAAAGAAAATTGGAATTAATCTAGGAGACTATACCGAACACAGTAGAGATAGTGGAAAGCACTTAGGTGCTTTCGACACCAACGGTCGGGTGGAGGGTTGGAGCCCCTATGGACACACGGCTGGAATGTTTGATACGTGATAGGATTTAGCTGATTTAAAATCAAATACAAGCACAAACATGAGAAAACAGGAGCGGAACGCGTATATGAACGCCATGACCAAAGAACTTAAGCATTTACACTAACATCCACATCATCCATTCCAAACACAAACCCCCTTGGCAAATCAGGCAACACAGACAAATACCCCTGATTCGCACTACTGAAATTCGGGTTGAACTTCACCTTCTTATTGTCCAATTCGGCAGGAACATAATGTGCATCATACACGACGGGTGCATCGCCTTTACTCCAGCTCTCCACCACTTCACGCGCAGCCTCAGGAAGAACGACCTTCGCAGGACACTGGTACCACCATGGTGTATGCACGAATGCAAGCATGATTCTCGGATCAGGACTGGGGTTGCAGAGACCTGCATGCCAGAGCCGCAGGTCGCGAAGCACAACCGACCCCTTCGGCACACTGGCTTGGATCGGCGGCGCGTATTCTCGCCTTGCTTCGAGCAGCTCGTTGCGGATCCCGAATTTCGCTTCTTCGCCTGTTATGGGCTCGTCAGTCTGGCAGTTCTTGTGGTCGGCAAACGAGGTGTCGCGGTGTGTGCCGAGCCAGAGCTCAGTGCTTCCGTTCGCGGGGGAGGTGTCGACGAGGTAATAGTTTGCGACGAGAGCGAAGGGGAAGAGGCCGTGGTTGAAGCTCAGATCTGCATGAACGTTTTGACGTGCTCCATTAAAGCCTCCCAGAGCGGTGTTCCCGTTCACATAATTGACGTGCGGATTGGGGCCGAGGATTGACGAGATCACTTTGGCGGCGGGACCGTTGGCCCATATGTCGCGGTACATGAGTTCTGGTTTGAGAGGGGGCCCCTGCGACATGTTACCGGTTGGGCGACCGTCTGTGGAGTTCTGTTTTAATTAGCATCAGCTAGGGAATTTCGATGGGGAGTAGTTGCGAACATCGTTGAAGTGGGTGGTAGAGAGTTTGGCCATGATTTCAGCTTCGTTGGAGAGGATGGTGTTGAGCGTTTCAATGTGTGTGACATCGACAGCATTAGATAGGCAGACGATCCCATCTCGGTGTAGGGCAGCGAGAGCAATTGCAACGTTTTCGGGTGTGATCGTTTGAGAGATGCGTTCTTTATCTGACAAGGGAACTGTGGTGAGGGTTTGAAATTGCAAGGGCATCTTCGCCGAAGGCATGATGAGTGTGGGTTTAAACTGCGAAGATGGTTCGCTTTTGGAGGATAAGATTGAGAAGAAGAATTGAACTGGTATCAGAAGGCGAGAAAAGCATAATATCGTCCTTTTTTTATGCTTTATGATGTATGAAGCTCCCGGGCTGTATCAGGCAGTGCCAGCTCTCAACTCTCATTTCCTTCGCCTAGTGCAACATCGTTCCGACAAACTAATGAGACCAAGGCATTGCTCTTCTAGCATACGCTGAGAGACGGACCAGTACTCGAGCTGATGCATGTGGGGTCGGGGGTGGGGTGCGGGGTGCGTAGCTGGAGAAGACGGCTCGGGGGACGTCGGCTCAGCTACCTGGAAACTCGGCAGGGAAAGGGGAACGTCGGCTCGGCTAAATTTACTTCGCAAACAAGGGGTTTCGCTTAGAGTTACCTTTTCAGCTGTTCTAGATCTCCGCTTCTCCTTTCTCGGTGCAATGGAGAATGTTACCCACTCTTGGGTTTCGGGCTCAAATCATATTTTGTATCAGCTCGGTCGAGGCCTAGAAACACTTCTAATAATGAGCCCCGAATTTAGGAGAGAAGCATCAAATTCTTACCGCACATAAATCGTTTGTCCAACTATCCTTACCTCAAACCGCAGCAATGGCAATTGGAATTGCAATTCTAGGAGCCGGCATCTTTGCAAGAGAGGGTAAGCATAAAGCTGTTTGCAAATTCGATAATACTTACCCTCCATCAGAACACCTGCCAGCGATTCGAGCTTGTGACTCTTTGTCCTTGAAAGCGATCTATTCTCGTTCCGAAGCTTCTTCAACAGCCCTAGCAAAGTCTGCAGATGTCGATACGTACTTTGATTCCCCCAAATCACCCTCGAAATCTCTTGATGATCTACTACAACGCAAAGACATTCACGCAGTCGTAATTGCATTACCGATTCTTGTCCAGCCAGCGATTATCAGGAAAGCGCTCTCTGCCGGGAAACACGTTCTGAGCGAAAAGCCAATCGCGAGAGACGTTGCAACCGCAGAGGGTTTGATTGCTTGGTATAAGGAACAAAAAATCGAACAGATATGGAGTGTTGCAGAGAACTTCAGGTTTCTTGAGCCTGTTGTATATGGAGCTGAACAAGTGAAGAAGGTTGGAGGAAGTGTGACCACGTTCAGTATGAAGTTATATGGGTTTGTGGACGAGAATGACAAGTTTTACAAAACTCCTTGGTGAGTATTTCCCTGTCAGCTGGAAAATATGGTCTGACCATTTTGCAGGAGACAGGTTCCGGAATATCAAGGCGGTTTTCTTCTTGACGGTGGGGTGCATTTTACAGCTGGGCTCCGAGGGCTTTTAGTGGCAGGAGGACAGCACATCACTCATCTAGCAGCATTTTCTTCTCTTCTAGAGAAAAAGCTCGCACCTGTCGACACTGTTCACGCAACGATGAAGATCTCAAATGGAAACAATGGGACTTTCAACTTATCGTTCGGGACTGAGTTCAAATCGGGATTCGAGATTGAGGTGGTTACTAGTAAAGGTGCTGTTGTAGTGAGGCCAACCGAAGTCGTGGTCACGACCAAGGACGAGAAAGGGGTGAAGAAGGAGGATGTTAAGAAGTTTGAGTACAGTGCTGGTGTTAAACCTGAAATCTTGGCTTTCGCTAAAGCTCTCGAAGCTGGTAAGGGAAATGAGAAATCATCTCCAGAGGAAGCCTTAATGGATTTGAAGATTCTCCAAACCTTATTGGAAAGTGGGGAGAAGGGCGGGAAAGTTATGAAAGTGGCATAATTGAGTCAGTCTATTGGATATCCAATTAATTATCGTCCATCTACAAGTGCTCGCATTTTCAATTTTGATATTCATATCCATAGAGAATAAAGAAAATTGATTCATCCCTTACCCTGCTCATAGTCTGTGAATGCGAAGTTGCCGGACTGCCTACGATGAATAGTCATGCTCTATAGCTCTACACACGGTAATATAGACGGGAAAATCTCTCGTGACCTTGGCCTCTAGCTTTAAATTGACGTGTGAATATGGTTGTACTTGTTTTATGCCACACACAATAGTGGGGTACTGTAACATTTCCAGGATTACCGACGATCCGACCATCCCCGACGCAGAGATCGCCAAGTGCCAGGGCCGCGTTAAGACGGACATCTCTAGATCCCTAAAACTTTTCACCGAATTCGCTCTGCCGCCCGATCCGATGGAAATTGCAGGAGTTCAGCAGCACTACCTACTTGGACAGCTGAACTAGATGTGAAGCAGTCTAGCTTAGGGTGATGCGACATATTGGCAGCTGCAAGCTCAACGGAACTCACGTTCCATGTCGCATCGAGTACTGCATCTATATTAACTTCGTGGGAAATAATCTACGTTCAACTCCGTGCAAGTTCATAAAGCTCATTCTCTCGAGGCTTTATATACGAATAGGTCCTCTTCTACCATTCACTGTCCTCTCGAAATCCGCCAACATGTCAAGAACGCGAACACCCATTTCCTCGAACTGGGAATGGAAACTCGCAAACGCACACCAGAATGTTACAGCGCTGAAGGACCCCACGTTGCAAAGCTGGATGCCAGTTTCTCAATTCCCTTCCGTAATCCAACTGGAGCTCCTCCATTCCAAGCTCATTCCCGACCCCAATGTCGGAGAGAATGAACGGCTGATACAATGGGTTGGAGAATGCGATTGGGAATATCGTTGTTCCTTTCCCTCTTTAAACAATGCTTCTACACTACCTAACGTGGAACTGGTCTTCGAAGGCTTGGACACATTTGCCACGGTTTTCTTAAACGGAAAAGAAATTCTCAAAAGTGAGAATATGTTTCTCCCTGCCCGAGTCGATGTTAAGGCATTATTGAAAACTCCTGGTGAGGAAAATGAATTGTCGATTCTGTTTGAGAGTGCATTGCGAAAAGGAACTGAGCTGGAAGAGAAGTTTGGTGCTAGAGAGAGCATGATGCGAGATAAGAGGCGTAACCACATACGAAAAGCACAGGTGAGTCGCTCTTGGCTATATGGATATTTTTACTGACGGGAAAAGTATCACTGGGGCTGGGACTGGGGACCCATCATTGTTACCTGCGGACCCTACCTGCCAGTTTACTTGGACGCGTATACCTCACGAATCGAAGATCTTCACGTCACCAGCAGTACCTCTCCCGACCACTTGTTTGCAGATATCTCCGTTTTTGTCAAGCTGAGCAAGGCTTATACAGAGTCGTCAGTAGAAATTCAGGTTTTAGATGCATTGGGAACTCAAGTTGCAGCTGGAAAAACTTCCGCGGATGGGTCTTGTACCTTCAAGGTCTTAAAGCCGTCTCTATGGTGGCCAAATGGCCATGGAGATCAACACCTCTACACTGCAACGGCTATATTATCCCAATTCAATGACACTTTGGATACTAGCTCTAAGAAGTTTGGCATCCGCTCCATCGAGATTATCCAACGGCCCCTCTCATCCGAACCTGGCAAAACATTTATGTTCAATGTCAACGGTCGCGACATTTTCGCTCAAGGCGGGGACTGGATTCCAGCTGATAATCTACTCCCCCGTCTCACACGGGAGAAGTACCATTCCTGGATCAAGATGGCACAACGAGGGAACCTAAACATGATTCGCGTGTGGGGTGGTGGAATTTATGAGACGGATGACTTTTTCGATGCTTGCGATGAGATGGGAATCTTGGTGTGGCACGACTACGCTTTTGCCTGCGGAGACCTTCCGGTACATCCCAAGTTTTTGGATAGTGTGAGAAAGGAGGTTGAATGTCAGACTTTAAGGATGAGAGGGAGGGCTTCTCTGGCATTATTGTGTGGTGGAAATGAAGATTTCATGTTGGCTGACTGGGATGGGGAGCCATTTCCGGGGACGTACTTGCACAAGTAAGTCAATTATTCTGTTAAGAATAGAGTTTAGCTGACGAAGTAAGGAAAAACTACGACCATGAAGATGTGGTCGGTCCGTTCGAGAACACCGACTTCCCTCAAAGAAAGATATATTTGGACATCATACCCAAGATAGCCGAAAAACTATGTCCAAATGTACAGTACTGGGCGAATTCACCTTGGGGAGGTGCTGAAGAAGCGAATGACCTGACCGTGGGAGATGTCCATCAATGGGACGGTTCGTTCCTTTCTCCAATCTCTAAGAGACAAGCTGATACTTCCAGTCTGGCATGGCAAATCCCGCTCATACCAGGACTACAAATCCCTCTCTGGGCGATTTGTGTCCGAATTCGGAATGCATGGATACCCAGATATGCGTACCGTGAATGAATTCGCACCCAATCCCGAAGACAGACATCCCCAATCACGAGCAATAGATTCGCACAACAAAGGGCATCTCGCGGAGACTCGGATCGCTAGATACCTTGCTGAGAACTTCAGATACAGCAACGAGCTAGAGAAATTTGCATACGTGAGCCAGCTGATGCAAAGCGAAGCTTATGGCTACGCCTGCCGGGACTGGAAACGGAAGTTCGGAGGGAAAGGAAAGGAAAGTTGCGCCGGACTTATTATTTGGCAGGTAAGATCACTCAGGCTACTCTCTATAGGTAACTTCACTTACCGTCGATGCTTAGCTAAACGACGTCTATCCCTGCACGAGCTGGGCCTTCATCGATTACCATCTCCGTCCCAAGCCCGCTTTCTATACTATCAAAAGAGCATTCGCGCCGATCTCAGTTGGCATCGATCGCACTCCTTGGTCTCGCTGGATCGACGATGATCACCCCCGGACTACCGAGATTCCCGCTTTTGAGATCTTTGCTCATAATACCACTCCCGTAGAGAAGAGATTCACCTTGCTATTGAGTGCATATGATATGCATACACACAAATACATCGTCTTGCCTCCGGGCACTGCGAAACGGGAAGTCACTCTGCAACCGGGGCAAAACACTGAGTTTGGAAGTCTGTCGATGACCGAAATTGTAGGCGAAGAAAGCCTGGTTATTCTTGCCGCTAGCCTGGTCAACCAAAAAGGAGAGGTGGAAGCACAGATTATGAATTGGCCAGAACCTTTCCGATATCTGAGCTGGCATGAGGATACTAGGGTTTCCGTTTCGGTGGGAGTGGGTGGGGGGGAGGTGAGAGTCAAAGCAAACTATCCAGTGAAAGGGTGCTTGCTGTATGTGGGGTATGAGGATGGCGAGGACGCTGAGTGGGAGGATAACATGTTGGACTTGCTACCTGGGCAGGAACTATCTGTTAAAGTGAAAGGGCTTAACGGCAGGGCTGTGTTGGCAAAGTGGCTAAATGATTGGGAGTTGAAGAAATAATGTAGTTACTGGGTCAAAACATAGTGAATCACTACCACGGCTTCTTCCAACGCGTTTACCAGCCCAGGAGACAACCCCACAAGCTGAAGCGAGAACGCCGTCCCAACTACCACATCTGTGTTAGACTCTCCAATGTAATGACCCTCCGTATTTGGTGTTGGATCGGGACTCAGCACCGTGGGGTTTGTTCTCTAGCAAGAGTAATCTTTAATGCGATGGCAGCGGAGAAATTGCTGTCGCATCAAGAGCAGCGTAGAGTGCCAGACTGTCAATAGTTGCGCAGTGGTTCCTAGTGAAGAATAGGAGAGCGTCTTCGTCGATAACTTCTTCCCCTAAATGGTTGGTAGATATCACTATATGACTCCGAACTATTGGGAAGTGGTGCTTGACACTGTACGAAGATTGCAAAGTAAAGTGGCGCGGGGCGTTTGTACCTCAAGTTTACTCTCAGGCCATTTTCCACACTCACCCACTAAAGACCCCTATATTTCCAGGCTACTCCCCTATGCTACGCTATAAACTATAATAAACAAAGGGCATATTCCCTGTACTTACAGGGGCAGAGTCGCTAAAGAGCCCTATAATAGTTGCTCTCATATCGTCCGAGCGCTACGGTTACTCTGCCAGCAATAAGAACCTTTAGATCTTCAACGACCCCGCACATGTCTCACAGCCCTGATTTAGGGCTTCAGGCCTGGAGTTACAAGGCTTATAGCGGGAGTAGTAGTACCTTAAACCACATCCTGGAGTCCGGTAGACCCATACGAGAGCACAAATGCCCTGTAATCCCGTCGCTTTATGCCGCACTCCCCTTAAGTTTGGAACAGGGCCTGACTTGGCATCATTTCCTGCTGCTCATCAAGCGGGCTACCAGGCTGGATTTAATCGTTCTATAACTTGTATTTACGGCTCTTCATAAGCTCAGTGGGATTGACAGAGAGGTTGTCACCAGGTTAGTCACACACACAAGTAAGTTATATATTCCTACTATGCCTTTATTAATAAGCTAAAATTAGTAATATTCAAACTTTTCAAGTTGAAGTAAATAGAGAAGTAAGTCTCGATTCTTGCCTGGTTATCTTTATAGAAGATATTCTATGCCCTAACACTACCCCTCTCTACAGTCCTAAATCTATACCTATAGATAAAACCACGCCGATAGATAGATTTATAGCCCTCCGTATCTCTGTTAGTAACAGAACTTAAACAGTTATATTTGACAATGCAAGGCGCGCAAAATAGGACAAGCAGATTACGCAAGAAATTCAAACGTCTTCTAAAATAGCGACTTATGAGATCCTCAGGGAACAAAACCGCTATAGAGAGCGCCGAGACTCTCCATGCACCCTCAATAGACAGACCCTCCGCCGGCACACCCAGCAAGACTGCCGCTGGGACCGTTAATGGAAGTCTCTCGACAATGAGAAACATTTACAAACGCCTTCATTAGATCCCACCCTGACACTAGAAATTAAACCAAGATAGGGAGGAGCCTTGCTCGTTGTCGTTATATTCATAAAAGATAGTCATCTTGACTTAGCATACGGTGCAGGTAGCATAGTATCCTCTCATATTTCTCAGCATTGCCCTCTCGAACTGCACTTGAAGGCTAGCATTAATGAAAATTTTGTGCATAAGAGTCTAATCAACATCCGGCACTGGCAGGTGATTCAATAACTTGACCTTCCTTCCCAGTTTTTTCATCGCCTTCAACGCATTCTCATCTCTCAATCGTTCCGTCTGCTTCTCATCCACTAACACGAAATCATGTTTCAAAACTTTGCTTCCTTCTTTGACTCCGTACTTCTGTGCAATGGCAGCATCAGCGGTGCTGAAGTCGACGATCAGGGATTTTTTGACGCCGAAGACGGCATCTGAGGTCTCGTATGGGTCGTTGCGGATGTAAAGGGCACTATATGATGGAACATGTCAGTATCTGTTGAGAGGGATAGTGATGGGAACTAGATGGGGAAGGGGAACCCACGTAATTAAATGATCCCACCCCTTCTTCTCAAACATAAAATGCATATGCGCCGGCCGCCACGGATGTCTCTTCAACAACTTCAACAATTGTCCAACCGGCCCGTCGTGGGGAATCGGGTACGGCACCGGCACAATTGCCTTGAACCAAAACACGCCCTCCTTGTCGCTATTCATCACACATCTCCCATCGGGCCCCTGTCTATTGCTGTGTTGAACGTCATAATGTCCTGTACTATCCGTCTCCCAGATGTCGATCTTCACGCCCTCAATTGGGTTCCCGGACACGTCTTTTATGGAGCAGAGAACGAGACAAGGCTCCCCTTCGGGGTCGTGAGACATCAAGTCCCCGTTGGGTATGGTTTCTGCTTCGTGGGTGTGGAAGGGGCCGAGGACCGAGCCCTCTGTTGACGCGGGGGGTTTGGGGTGGTCGATTGCGTCGACAAGGAGGGAGAGGCCGAGGATGTCGGAGAGGAGGATGAATTCCTATCAATCAGTCGACATCAGCGTCCATTCTCTATCGTAGTGGGGGGAGAGGGTTGTGCAAGAAGGGGGAGCTCACATGTCGCACATCGCTGCTAATCTGCCCAACTCTCACCAAGAAGTTCAAGGCCGCCATCCACTCGGTTGTACTCAGTCTCGTCTCCCGCGCGAAATCGTGCAGGTGTGTAACGAGGCGCTCCATCACGTAAGTGAGGCGCTGATCTGAGCCTTGCGAATTAATGATCACGGTGTTATCGGTGATGTTGTCGATGGTTAGGTCCATCATTGCAGGGACGTTAACGTGTGCTGGATCCATGTTGGAAGATCGGATTGTTGTTGAGTTGGGGGAGAGTGCGGGGAGAAGAAATTCAAGGAGGTGAAGCGTGCAGGAAATGGATTTCCGTGAAGGGTGATGATGCTGGGGTGGGGTAAGTGTAATGTGGGGATTTCGGAAGGTGTGGTTGATTGATCGAGTTGTGTCCTCCGCAGCTTCCTTTTGTTTCTTCAATTGAGGGTCAGAACAAGGTGATATATCATAAGATTTTGCAGCGGAGGTGGTGACAGACTCGGCAAATATGAAGCTATAATCTTTGTAATGATTGCCAATAATTGGTGGTTCTCTGTCATGCGGTTCCTGGACCCGGAGCGGCTATTGCGGGGTAGTTTTCGACCCCGGCAGGCGGGGATAAATATATACCCGGATCAGCTCACCTTCTGACTGACTTTCAATTCGTTGAGACGACTTTGATGTTTCCTATTATACGGTGAACGGGGAGTTATATATTCCAGACCGCAGTCTTCAGTCGCTGTTTTCTACGGGCAACTGCAATGAGAAACTGCATTCAAATGGCAAATACTGAAACATGAGCTGAGCCGATACGGTTCACATATCTCATGAGCTTTCCGAGCAGAGTTCCTTGAGTTACACGCATACAAAGGTACAAAAAGTTCCATTCCCCGTATGCAGATGCCATAAACTAATTGAAAAGGGACTTGATCGGGCAAGCAGACCCACAATCCTTCCACGGTCTCGAACACCGATAGCAGAATGCCGTCTGACACCTTGAGCATGTCATATGCAGGCAACCTTCCCTCCTCTCAATCAAGTGATTACACCCAGGACACGTTTTCCAGCCCTTCTTCTTAGCCAGCTTCTTGACCGCTTCCGTTTCTTTGTCTTCTGCGCAGAAAGTCCCAGGGTGTGCCACCTGTCTGCAATGCCGACATGTTTGCGCAGAGCACTTCTCACACGTCCCGATATCACCCACGATCACTCGTGGTGGTAGGAACCTTGCGCATTGGGCGTTGGAGCAGAACATTGCATTCGGCGTTGACAGCTCGAGCATCATCTCCTCGTACTCTGCTACAAATCCATCCGCCAAGCCGAGACAGTCCCTGACGCTTAATGCCTTTTTGCAGCATTGAAACGGCGCCCTCGACTTTAGCGCAGCCTTGAAAGCATTTTGCAGACACTCGTTGCAGTACCCGTGCTCGCATTCCTGTACAAGCTCCTCCCGAGCATGGTCCTCAAGGCAGGAAGTACACGTCCCAACATTACTCCCCTTCCACTGCTCCCAAGCCTCCTCGTTCTTAGCTTCCTCATCGAACCGTTCTTGCAGTCTTTTTGCTTCCAAGAAATTTACTTCATCAGCGCTATTCTGAGAATTAAGCTCCTTATCAATTCGGTCCGCTTCAAAACAGTCTATCTGTGCTTTCCAAGTCCCGGGGTCCATTCCCCACAGATCAGGGTTAGCTTGCTTCACCGGTCCCGGTATCGGGATCGCCTCCTCTATCAATTTGTTTGATTCCCGATGCATGAAATACGCTAGCTCTTTATCTTCATCGTCGGCAGTCCCATTGTTAATCTTGTACGCCAGCAGGAGATCTCGCTCCTCCTGAAGTTCTTGCTCTTCCTGCAGCAGCAGGTACCTTGCGAACGCTTGATCGGCCTCTATATGATCCTTCCAAGGGCTGTTTGTGCCGGGTCGAAACGGGTGGATCGGAGTACTTTGCAGTTTTCGAATATAGCCCATGCGCGGAGCCCGGCGATTTCTGATGTAAGGGAATTTTGAAAAGGAGCTACTTGGCTTTTTCCATACTGTGTAATGGCTGCCGTCGAAAGAAAGGTCTCTGGCTAGCATGGCGTCGAGAGTGAATTGGCTATTTGTGAAGTTGCTGGATTTAAATGGCTGACTTGACGATGTGCTGGTCGTTTGCCGTTCGTCGAGATGAGGTACCTGTGCTTTCGCTATTGGGGTAGCTTCCCCCGTGGCCGAGAAAGGTCTATTCATCAGCACAGATGGAGTCGCCGAGAAGTTAACGTTTTCTTTGCGTCCTAGATCGACACTAGGCAAAGCAGAGATAGAGAGACTCCTCTGCAGCGAATTTCCCATTGGCGGAGAAGACATCCGGCTCTTGCCTTTCCGGAGACCGAAGTTGGAATTGGTGTGCGAGGCTCTCTTCGAGCTCGAAAAACTGTCCTCCTGAGGGACAGGACTAGAGCAAGTGCTTGGGGACGTTGGAGATAAGCTGGTCCGAGAGGAGATGCCAGAGGATAGACTCCACATGTGACTCCCTGAAACCGATGAATTCGAGTCTACCGAAAGTCGATGGATATCTGACGTCGTGTCAAACGCCACAGGATAAGTCTCTTGCCATTCCCTCCTCGGGAAACCCAGCGCGGGTTCGCTGTTGGCAAAATAGCCTGGTAGTTCAGCCGGAATTTCTGCTGGTAGCTCTACAGCAAGTTGTTCTGGTATATTGGGCATATCTCGTGTGCTTTGCGATACATGTTCTGATTGATATACCTTTGCTGTTCGAGTTGTGCTTCTCATACTCCCAGTTGCCTTCCGTGCAAGTTCGGTAATATAGCGTAAGTATTTGCTCTTCTGCGGAATGTTAGCATCAACCATTTGACAAATACACAACAGGACTTGTGCTGACCTGCGAAAGCTTCGTTACATGCTCATTGTTTGGGCGGCTTTCCTCCCTGACATCTTGGATATCAGCTTCCCAGTCATACGGAGCCGGTTGCGGTGGCAGCTGGGCATTAACGACTGAAGTTGTACTCCAAAACTGTTCCGTCATGGGGCCTCCGTATTCTTCGCTGCTCATGAGAGGTAGGCCATGCTCTGGCGGTGCCGATGTTGCCAATGGTCGTTGCACTTCCTGCAATTCAAGAGTAAGAAATGGTGGAAGAGGTGGAGCAGGCCTTTGAGGAGGCAATGTTGCGGAGCGGGTTGGTGTTGAATCGGCACACAGTGGAGGTAGTGGAGCCTTCCTTACAGGAGGCAGTACCGCCGACAGATCTATCATTGGTTTAGGAGGAACAAGAGGGCGTGCCCGCAAGTGTTGTGGCTTTGGTGGAGGCCGTGTGGGGGGCTCAGATGAACCAGATCGCCTCGATAGCGGACGAGATGGTACTATTGGTGGTCTCGGGGCTGTGCGCAGTGGAGGCCGAGATGTATTCGAAGGTCCTGCTTCAAATCCTGATTCTTGTAAGACAGGAAAGCCCGTGAAAGGATTGATATAGGGCTCATTGCCAATAACGTATGCCTTAGGTGGTTTCGGGGAGCTTCGTGTGGGCGGCTTGCTAGAAGCAGCTGTTGGAGCATAGAAGCCCTGGAAGGAAGTATTCTCCCAAAGATTCCCACTCGCAACTTTGTTCTCATTGGGAGGCTTCCTTTGCGCAATTTCTTGCTTCTTGCAAGGCTCCGGGCATGCAACTTCTAACATTCGAGCAATATCTTTACCGGAAGTTGCACCTCTGATTTGATCGCTGAGCTCGCTACAAATCTTGATCTGGGTTTGAATCTCTGCTTTAAGATCCACATCATCGTCTGACGCCTTGCCTTTACCTTTGCCCTGCTCAAGGTCCAGTTGTTCTATATTCCTCCCAAGTAAATCGGCGTAGACGGACAAGGCTGCGACCAGCACCGTTCTCTTCGCATTGTCCATCGTCCAGAAATCAATTGTAGGAGTTCTCGGAACGGCTCCGACACAAGATCAGCCTTCGGCGTAAGAAATGAGGGTGGATTTGATCATGTTCTAATTCTTTCTCCGTGGAGTGACGTTGAGTGAAAATGTTGGTGGGGCAGAATGGTAAGGCAGATGATGGGTAGCCAGTAAGAGGAGGATATTTCAAGCCACCTCCAACGTGTCATGCATCATCACGTGGGCGCAATTCACAACTCAAGCAGCAGTCAAGGAAGCAAGATAGAGTGGCACGAAGACAAGACTTGGATGGAATACCCTATACCTTGGGAGAACAACATCGGAACTGTGAATCGATACTTTAGGCGTCAGCCGAGGTTACCTTTCAGGACACCATCAAGCTCTGATCAGGGTTTGCTCAGCCTTGCTCGCCCTCTGCGTAAGCCAGCGCGGCCACTGCTGATATCTGGATATTAAATTAAATCGCTCCCAGAATCGATAAAGATGACTTTAAAGTATGGCTTTCATGGTAGTGTGGATTCTGAGCATTGGCGCCGGTTAGGGGTTAAGCGAGAACCCCTATTTTGCAGTCGTACAAGAGCTGGGCACGAAGCAGAAGAAGACCCTACTATAGGCGAGTGCATATAAATGGTTGAGTTATACCACCCTTACTGACTTTAAGTGTATTTGATCTTCTTTGGACGAGATAGCCATTAAATCTTTCTTGCCCCGGAAATAATGGTTTCCCAGAGGGATAGAGCGAGCCGATCCCGCAGAACGAAATCCATACTGTACTCGCGAGGCCATGAAATTGCCCCCTCACTTGAAGGATGAGACGAACGATAAGACTCGGTCGACAGCTCATTTGTCGTGTCTGATCTGCACTGCAACGATCATTTGGCGAATGAATTCCGACATGCTCTCCGACAATATATATCTCTAGAGGATTAGCATTGATTGTATGTATGCATATTTGATCTGTATCTATCGATTCCCGGCACCAAGTAAATTTAGACAACATCCTCTTGAAATCGGTTCCCATTCTGCCTTCTCTTTCGTCGTCTCTCCTCGATTTCTTGTCTTCGTTCTGCTTTCTTTGATAATTTTGTCCTTATTGCCATTTCCTTCCAGTATGATTTATCATAAACCACGAAAAATACGTGTTGTGCCTCACCTGCTCTCACATTCAAAGTTGCAACACCCAGCCCAAAGTGACACTTCGAATCTGGATCATAGAGGAGATGGCTAGCATAGAACAGCGAAGCATAATCTGCGATGCTGTCATGATATCGCACCAATCTGCGATCTCGCCATGGCCAGGCCAGAGGGACAGATATATCATAAATAACAAGATATGCAAAAACAAGATAGAACATCGCTGGAGTTATGGAGAAGTATACTCGCTTCCCGGTGTTCGTAATCACGAAAATGCCACCGACAAAGACGGGAAATGTCGGCGAAAAGAAATATATGAAGGAAATCCAATCAACTACCCAGTGTTTGTTCACCAATGCCTGGATTATCGTTAATCTAGTTATGCCCCAGAGGCCGACTTTCTTTCGTCCATGATCCTCGGTCATTGGCGCGTATCTCTCTCATATACAGCTGACCAACATTTTTTGAGACGCGACACTCGTATGCTTTTTTGGTCAGCCATAGAGATATATGGCTGTATGCGACATCATGTGTCTCTCAAAAATTGAAAGAGCACTGTGGTGATTGTTCCGACTACAGTAGGTACATACCGTACCACAAGAAGTATATTGTTGTATATTGTATGGGACCGGTGGTTACGGTCCGCGCAGTGTAATGTAATAACGATAGAGCTTACGCAGAGGATGTTGAAGGCGAGGATGCCGATCAGGACCTTGTAATTGAGGATGAGGGGTCTGAATTTGATCTCGGGATAGTCCGTTGGGACTGGAATGGGAAGAAAAATGTCGGCTACAAGTAGAAGGTTTAGTATCTAGTTCTCATCAACATTGGGTGCCAACTCGTCATAGCGATATCTTCTTCGACAATGGGGGTTTGTCCTTGAAGTTTATTTTTATCTCTTGTGAGTTGAGACTGAGAGACCACCAATTCTTCTGCCGCGACTTCCACCTCGATGAATTCAGCTCGGCCATTCTTTCTCAACGCATCCGGCGCGACCCCCTGTTCTATATCTTCCGCGCCTGGTACTTCTTGCTCTGTATGTTCCCTTTGTTTGACTCCATTCCCTAACATTCCAGGTCTCAGTGTCACATGCGCCGATTTCGGGCTGGGGATGCGGACTGGTTGGTGGGGTAGTCTGGATGCTGACACGCATCCTATGCTCGAGTGTGATCATTACTGCCCGAGCCGATTCATTGTGCTGCGATGAACGAGTCTTGTTGGGTGACGTAAGGCTGTGAGAACCTGAATGATTGAAAGGTGTTGATGCATGACGAACGAGGACTGCCTTGTTAGTAGACCTCATCGCAGGTCAGCTCTTTCTGGAGCACAACGAAGACTTTGTGATTAGTTCGATAACAGTGAAAAGGAAAGTGGATCATGGGAGAAAATGGGCTGGGGCAAGGCACGGCCATCCTCATATTCTCCGCTCAGCTTGACGCTCTCACTGAGCATAGTAGGCACGCCTTCATATAAAGGTGGAAAGGTAGCCATATATCTTTTTCAGAATGCAACTGCAAGCATCTTGTGTATCTGAAAATAACACTCGGCCAATGAAGGATCACTCGACACCCCTCTATGGTGGCTCAGATCCTCGAGACATCCGCCTATCAAATGATGTTCCATCCAGCACAGCAGCGTATGCAGCCGCGTTGCTAGTTATTTTTCGTTGACTGTCCTTAGCAGAGAAGTTGATTGGTGGTCGAGGTTCAGAGGCTGAAAGACACTGGCCTAATTATCCTGAAGACTGAATTTGCCCACCGAGATCCAATCATGACCAATTTCCCTACTCCACAATATCCAGATGGTACTTAATATAGTACAATGGACGAATTTGTTTCACCGCATAAATTCCATCTTGTTGGTTCGGTCAGACGAGTTTGGCGATCACGTGGGGCGTCGTGGACTGCAGGCTACTGACTGTGCTAAACAATATTCTCCCATCGCCGTCCTCAGCACCACCAGCTGGAGCCGGCACTCATCACTCGTTTCTTCCAGAACGTCAGGTTCTTGGACTACCACCTGTTGCCGTGGCGGCCAAACTTGAGTGTCAACCCATCAGGTGGCAGACGTCATCGTCGCCGAGACTTCAATCTGTCCCTGGTCCGCGACAAACGGCTGCCGCCCTTCTTGGTACCCTTACACGCGCGAGAGCTCCTCATGTTGGGCCCAGAGACGGTAGTCGGTACCTCTGACAGAGTTTGGCCAAGAAAATAAAAGCAGAGGGAGGAAAGGAGCGCAAATTAAGGAGGTTTCGCAGCCGCATCGGCGATCTCTAAAAGCAGGGGTGCCGCATTGGGCTTCAATGCATTCATTCATTTGTCCAGGATGTCCAATGACGCCGTGCCTGTTTTGTTGCATGTCGTTCCTACCGAGAGCTTGCCCAGGGGGAAGAGACTTCTGTTTCATCCTGTGATGATCTGGATGGTTAGACAATTCAGGGCATGAATGAGCATCAACACTCAGACACGGGTCGGCCCGCTGTTGCATTCTCTGCTTCTCGGTTATAACAGCACGTGGAAGTTCAGATGAAGGGCGAGAGATCAGATGAAGAGGTGCGGTACCTATCGCGGAGGTAGAATGCAATTAGCACCGAATTTGGGAGAAATCAGAACTGAAATTGATGAGTATCCGTTACGCTGCCGCCAGCTTTACACTTCGTGCTCAATTATACGCGCAAAATTGCAGCAAATCAGAAGGCTCAAACCCGAATTTTGGCTCTCTGATTTGCTAAATTTCCTCGCTTAAAAGTGCACGGTCCAGTGTAAAGCTGGCGGCAGCGCAACGGATAGTACATTTACCCATCTCCTTCGCCACAAACCTCAGGCTTTGCCCACTGGCGAGAACTCGTGATCTCAACCCCACACCCCCACATTACGTTATCGCAGAGAAATAGACCGCCCACGTGATGGACCCCTTATCGGCGCTGGTTAAAAATTGCGGGGGTTCGAGGAGCCCAAGAAGCAAGAAGCAAGACCTGTAGTAGTTCCACCAAATTGATACCTCACAATTCCTGGGGTGATATGAGGAGACAGATGCTGGTTTTTGCCCTCATCTCATTGCTCTGGTAGACTCTGGTCTCTTGAAAGATCTCGAGACCAGTTCTTTTCGCTTTGCCCTTTCTTTGCTTTTTCTTCTCATGTCGTACGTGGCTGAGCACCGCATCTACGTGACAGTAAGCACGACCGAGAATGCGTGCTGGGTTTTCACTGACGCCTAACGGCGACTCATTCCCTCCCTCATCCTTCTTTCTACAAACAGGCAAACTCATCGCCTGTATCGCCTTATTGTCCCCTTTTGTACACCGGAGGTCTTGACTCAGCTTCCAGGCACTGCACGCAGCTGGTTGAGTTCCAGCCTCGCTCCAAACCGAACCAACCGCTTTCTCGTGCCTGAAGTCGCCGGGCACAATGGTTTCTCCTAACAGGGATGGAGTCTTTGATGACTCGAGTGAGCAAGGTGCTACCTTCAATGGGACGCCTTCAGCCAGTGGCACTGGTTCCACTCTCTTCCAAGACATCGACAGCTTTCCTGACCACTTCCCAGGACAAGGCGGCGCCGCCGTAGCCCTTCATTCAGCGAGCACTTCCACAAAGTCGACAGGGAGCCATCGAATTTCTTATACGCCTCGCGATGGATCTGTTTTGAGCCTGCCGCCTCGCGCTTCAGCCCCGCGGGAGCCCGGGAATACTCTCTCTTTGGCATCTGGTCCGAACGACTCAATCCTCGAACACTTTGCCGAACAGGCGGCCTCAGGAGCGCCCCGACCCTCGACCATCAGGCAGATTGCACACTCTGACTCTTCCTCTTCATCTGCCGAGGGAACTGGACTGGAGGAGACTGACTCGGGTCGAACGGAGTTAGATTCCGAGCCGGCCGTGGGAACTCCTGCAACCAGCGATGCCAGCGAGGACGCGGATATCTTGGGCCTTGCCGAAGGCCCTTACGGTCACCTGACTGGAGCTGCAAACAGAGATTTATCACTAGCTGGGTTGGACTTACCAGGTCAGTGATCGGTGCAGAGGCTTCGTTGCACCAATGAGTCTATACTGACTTTTACGTTGAATTTTTAGTTGAGTATCGAGATGGACCCTTCCTCAGCGATTCGAATGACGAAAGCGACGCCGATATCATTGATACCGTCAACAAAATACACACAAGGCTGCAAGCGAGTCACGATGCGATACCATGGACTTTGAGTGGAGAAGATGGGCGGCAGCGGCTTAATCCAGATGGGTCAGCACTGGCGCCCTCTCCCGGCCCGGCATACAGCGAATACCACTTGCGAATGAGAAAATATACCCAGAGATATCACAAGATCCAAAGGCTGCGGCAGTGTCAGACGGGGAGTTGCGAAGCCCAGCCAACACCCCTCGAGTCTTGTGATAAGCCCCCTATCGGAACGCCTGATTGTCAATGGGACATTTCTTCCCTGGTCTCCACCGAGCGGTCATTGGCCTATAATGAACCTCGAGGCAAAGAATCTCAAGGCTGTCAAGATGTACACATTAAACGAGTTTCAGGGACCGTACAACAGCCTATGATCCCCCGCTCCGTCGACTGCGTAAGCTACACACTCGAAACTCTGGTTTCTATCTTTCATCCTAGTATGCAATTCGTTCCATTTTAATCATACCGAGTACGACTAATCCCTCTAGCTTTTCTCGTCTCTCACCTGTCTCGATTCTCGGTCTCGACCTTGACCACCGAGCTCTATGCCCCAAAAGACCTCGCGTATAAGTCCGAACATGCTCTCGCGTTCGACCTAGGCTTTGGTCCGCCAATTCGCCTCGATGTGTGCCCCTTTACTCCCAGAGATAAGGAAGCGTTACACAGCTATCAGAAGCATGAAGGAAAAGACACACTTGTTGTGCAAGAGTCACTCCCAATCGCGCTAAATCTGTTTTCGCTCGAGTGGCATGCCGAAGAACTTGACGTTTGGCTTGATGGAATCCTCAACTCGCAGTTTGGGCTTCCCGAATATGTCGCCTTGATGATACTTCGGGAAAAAGACTCTCGTTTCTCCCACGCTCTGGAAGCCTTGACATCTTGGTATATGGCATCTAAGGACCGGGTAAGGCCTTCATCTCATACATATTGTTTCTGCAGAATCCAATTATCATGTATTAGCCGAGTCAAATGGATGCTGACTCTAATACGCAGCTCTCGGAGCAAGAAGATCAGATATTGCGTCCCGCATTGAAGCTGCTCATAACGACAACTCTCCTGAGCCTCGTCCCAAAAGTTTCAGACCTCCCTGCATCGCTCTTCGACTACTTTTCATCTCAATCTCCTGCTCAAGACACTACACATCTTTCTCTCGTTGCGCCCAGGCTTCTCACCCGGCAGACAAAAGCCAGTCTCTACCATCTACAAGAACACTTCTTGCACTCCATTTTTTGTCACTTTTCCTATCCCATACAGTTGGACGCAGATGTCCAAGTCGCACTTGCATTCTTGGTAGCGTATGTGCTGGATTTGGTGAGGAATGTCGGTCGAGAATTCGCACACTACGCAATGGCGTTCAATTCGACCTTTCCTGTGACTAGTCGTCACGTCACTGAATATGAGAAGAATGTGGAAACGCAGCTATTCGGAAAAGTTTGGGCGAGCGTTGCTGACGGGAACGGGAGGGTGGGAGGACTGGCCGAGAGATGGAGAAACTTGGGTACGTTTTTCTTTCTAGCCCCTCCTTGACTGCTTATTGATTTACGTTGTTTTGTCGAATATCTATCAGACCCGCTGACTTGCACTGCAGATTCGAGCGTGAAAGGGAAGCAGAATGAAAGTGACGAACACCAATTTGCGCGTGCCATCCTAGACGCCGTATTCTGAGGATCCAAAGCCAGCTCACCCAGATAGACTGGTTTTCTCTGTACTTACGCGTAGACGGTCTGGAGGGATTTAGATCAGGTCTCTGAGCACTATACTTGGCGTTTCTTATGCTTGGCGTTTATTATGCTTGGCGTTCATTATACAAATGGAATTGTGTTGTGATGCGAATGAAGAACATAGATCTTGTATGGTGACGGGGGGCAAGCGACATATCTCCTGATTTATCATCCTGTATCAGAGCAAAGCTATCCATTTAAGCAAGGCCATCAATTCCTAAATCAAGTGTAGATTTTTGGCTCCAATAATGTGACCACTGCAATGATAGGTAGAACACGCGTGTTAGTGTTCTGCGGTGCTCCCCCGACTGGCAGCGACCCCACAGCGTTGGCCCTCTCCAGGCCGAGCACGACGCAGGAACCGCCTCCGCCACCCACCGAAGCCGCAGCTTAACCTTATCGCTCTGTCGCCACTGAAAGGTAAGAGAAGATAAGGTTAAGATATTGTGAACCCTTACTCTCGTGTTGTGCCCTCGAAACCGGCCGTCGCCCTTCGTGTGCCCTCCCATGCCGAACAACATCCCCCTTATTTGTTTGCCTAACATATGCCCCGCCTTAGGCGTAGGAAGGGCGAAGAGCGCAGCACAGCGGAGCGCAGTGCAGCGTTCGGTGAAGAATAGGGTTAGTTCTAGCTCTGGTGCCGCGATGCTGAGCGCTCTCCACCTCCCTAGTGACCAAACCTAACTTCCTCCTCTTCTGAGGGCGACCGACCGCGCTCCCTCAGAAGGCGCCCCCAGCAAAGCCTCGCCCCTGATATCAACGATATGATGCGCCCTTGTTCCACCTTGCAGGGCGTTATTCTCGAGGCGGAGCGTCGGTGAGTCGAGATGGAGAGAAGGACGCCTGGGTGCTTGCCCGGCACATCAGGACGAACGCGCTGCACTGCACCGTGAAGCTCGCAACTAGAGGTGCAGCGCAAAGTGATGAAAGGTATAAGTATGCGTGGTCATCCATCTCTCTTCTCCTTCTCTTCTTTCTGAGCACTCGTATACACACAGTTAGTCAAACTACTGCGGCAGATACATTAATATTCACGGAGCTCAGAGCTGTTCGATCGGAAATTTTTATTATTCGAGATGACGATGACCATGTACCCTGGCCCCGCAGAGACCTCGGCAGCCAGCCGTCGATCGGCCGCTGCTGGCACCGACCCCTGGCAGCCTCCTGTGCTGTTTGCTCCCCCGCGCGGCGGCGGCGGCGGGAGCAATGGGAGCGGGAGCGGCGGGGGGAGCAATGGTAGTGGGACAAACACAGATCCAAGTAAGTCGCATCCTGTACTCGCCGTGTCGCGATGGTGTTGAGTCGAGCTGATCATTTACCCGTGCAGCTTGGGGCAGTTGAAGAGACGGCGGGAGAGGAAGGACTGATGGGATGGATGATTGCGGCGGGAGGAGATGGGGCGGGAGAGAGCTAGAACTAGAGGAAGTGCGGGGGGCAGGGAGGGCTTGCGGGCGGGTTCCAGACACCGCACTTGTACATATATGCACGATTTTCCTTTGTTATTCCGGGAGGTAGCGTTTGGGGAGGTAGCGCTTGGGGTGTAGCATTTGCGGTGTAGCATTTGAGGTGTAGCATTTGGGGAGGTAGCTTATGCATTTGATATTATTTCGTTTTCCATTTTTCATCCGGCTCTAAACAAGATAGCCCTTACGAGCCTCTGGAGAGTAGTCTATGCACTCAGGGCATTTTACGAATAAAGATCATTTTCAATCAATCAAATCTTTAAAAAATCAATCAATTAAATTGTGCCTTAGTTACTTTAGTTCTCTAGCCCTAAATATTTAGTCATGACTATTCTTTATTAACGTATAACTTTAAAGTGTCTGAGGAGACATTGGTTTTCAAGGTGTTGTAAGCGAATTTGAGGAGCCTGAAATTCCGAGGCAATGCACTGAGCACACAGGCCTGGGTCACTAGGCTCGTTACGAGCCTGGTAGCATAAGTCTGTATTTTTAGTAATGTTTTCAGGCCTTCACATAGCAAAGTCATTAACTTCACTTTGCAATAATTAAATAACTATTAATCGGATTTCCTCAAACCTCAATTATATTAAGGAAAGACAATAGATTGTATTTTAAAAACTGATTTTAAAGATTTTATAATATAAGCTAAAATTATTATAATTTCCTTTAAAGCTCTTTTATTAATAAAATATATTAATAATATAAACTTATATTAGTAGTTTACTAATATCTTATTCTTTAATATAAGACATATATATAAAGGTTATTAAGAAAAGAAATCTTATTTAAACTAATATTATATTATTTATTCTTTTTTATAAATAGCTTAAAAGGTTTATTTTATATATATATTTTAATTTTAATTTAAAGTTATATAAAATAAAAATAGCTTTCTAAAAAAAAATTATAATTATAATTATTAAATAAATTGTATTATATACTTTTTGTTTATAAATTTAATTGTAATAGGTTGGACCCGTGGTTTAGACTCGGTCATGTGACTCGGTTATATGACTCGGTCATGTGACCTTCGTTGCTGTGACTACGGGGGCGCATGGCCCGTATATATTTAGCTTATATAAGAGCGAGATTCTCTTTTTCTTTCCTTAGTTATTCCTTGTATTAAAACTACTAGTTTTCTTTATATAAAGGCATGGCCCGTAATATTAATAATTACTAATATTATAAATATTTTAAAATTAGATTTACTTTTATTTTTAAATTATAAAGAATTTATATTATATAAATATAAATATTCTAGTTCTTATAATATTTTATTTTTATTAAACTAAAAATCGAATTAAAGAAATATAAAATAATAAGATTATTAAATTTTATAAAAGTTTAATTTTTCTTTAAAATAAAGTTATTAATTCTTTGAAATCTAATATAAAAGCCAATTTAATTTATTTAAATTTAAAATAAGTATAATTATTAATATAATTTTCAAATATATATTTAATATTTCTTATTATTTTTTATATATTTTAACTTAAAAAAACTTATTATATAAAATGAAATATAAGAATTATTTATTAAAAGTTTATTTTAGTAAATAAATAAAATAATTTATTATATTAATTTAAATTAAATAGCTTTTATAAAAATATTTGCTTTTATTTTAAAGTTAGCTTTATTATTTTTATTTATTAAATTACTTTATTAAAATCTTAATCTAATTATTAATATAGCTATTCTTTTAGGAGTTATATATATAGTTATAATACTCGGGAAATAGAATATAGATAATAAAATATAGGATACGGAATATAGTTATATAATCTTATATTTTATAGGTAATTCGACTAATAGACTAGATCCTATTAGGCTTAGTAAATTTAGGAATTATATATTAATATTATAATACTAAAATTCTTATTTCTAAATATTAATTATTTTATTAATTTTATATACTAAATATTTTATATATATTATATATTATATTATATATTCCTAGTAAATTAATACTAATTAGTTTATATATATAGATTAGAAAATAGAATCTATTAAGCTAAAGAAGTATTTAGTAATCTATAATAAAATTAAACTAATTTATATTAAAGAAAAGAATTATCTATTAACTTTACGAAAAAGTATCTAGTAATTTAAAGAAAAAAGATACTAGTTCTTACTAATTAATAAATAATTAGCTATTTAACTATTTATTTATTTAATTATTTATTATTTTTTAAAACTAATTTCTTTTAATACTAAAATTACTTTTTTAATAATTATCTTTTCTATTTATATAATATTTGAATTTATAGAAACTTTTTTCTTTCCGGAATATATATATTCTATATATATCTTTAAAGCTCTTTAATTATAATTTCGATTTTACTATTAAATTAAATCCCTTAAGCTTTAGACTCTTTCGAAATCGCAATATTTAATTTCCTAAATTTCTTATTATAAATAAAATATTTAAAGGCAAAATATTTATCTTTAATATTCTATTATTAAATTCTTTTTATAAATTCATTATAAACTATTTTATCTTTAAATTCCTTTTATTATAAATTATATATATATATATATATTAAAAAGGGCTTAGCCTATTATAATTTAGCTTTTAATTTTATTAGCTAATATAGTTATTTAATATTATTACTTATATTCTATTATTTATATTCTATTACTTTTTAAATATATATAATATAACTACTTTATTAGAGAAATATATTTGAAATATATTAGAAATATTTAGAAAACTAAGCCCTTTATAAACTAGTATACTATAAAATATATATATTTCCTTATAGCCTTTTATATTCTAGTTTTCTCTTTTTTAGCTTTAAATTGTTTTTATAAGAAACCTTTTATTTTACTTTTTAAGTCCTAAATACTATATTTGTAATAGTATTTAAAGTTTATTTCCTTTAATCTTATAAAGAATTTTAAATAAACTATTTTAGAACTATTAAAAATATAGATATTACTAAAATAATAGAATCTTAGAAATACGAATAATAGATTCTAGAATAATAAAAGCAAAAAGCTTTAGAATCCTTAAAGGAATTAGATATTTCTATCTTTATAAATATATACTAATAATATATTAAAAACCTTTCCGAAAACTCCGAAAATCAAAGAACCTTATATAAAGGCTATTCTTTAATCAAGTTTTAGAATAATAGATATCTATAGGCTAATAATCTAACTATTATTCTCAAGTTCTATCCTATAACCTTATAGGCCCTATATATATATTAGTAATAAGACTATTAAAAAGAATATAATAAAGGAAAAATATAATAGATTAATTTTCTAGAATATTATATAACTAGAAATTATATTGATTTTTACTAAGGCTTTTAAAGCTTTTACTAATTCAGGTTATTTTATTAATAGCCCTTTCTAAACTAAATATTATATTAATATTCTTAAAGAATTTATAAATAAGTCTATAGAAATAGAATTCTTTATTTTTATTATAAAGCTTTTAAAAACTAATAACTATATTATTACCGAAAAGCTATATAA